TCACACTTTATGGAGCCATTATCCACATACAAATAATTTGCAACTAATTAAGTTGCTTCAAAGTTCTTTTTGCGAGACAAGGATCGGAGAGCTAGGGATCTTTCTTGCTATAGATGATTTGACTTTGATTGCAAGCAAACAAGAACAAGATCAGTCGATAAATCTTTAGATCTCCAAAGTTGTCTTATCATGACAACGCTTTACAAAGATTTGAAGAAATCTAAAACACAAGCTTTTTTGAGAAGGAAGGAAAGAGTTCTTTTGCAAAGAAGCTGATGGACAATCCCAAATTGTTTTATATACGGTGAGCATGACGGTCTTCTAAAATTACTCTTGATCCCAAGTCTTTGATTGCTTTTGTTAAAAAGCTTTAATTTTTGTTCGACGCTGCATCAATGCCATGTTGTGAAGTGATAGCTTGCTTATTTTTTTTATTTTGAAGCAGAGATGATGACTCAATTTCAAAAACTACCAAATGATAAATGTGAAAATTTGGATGATCATTCTATCAAATGTTTTGAGTGGGGAGGAGATGATAATTGATCGATCCTCAGTAAAGTGTTAGAGTTTGCTGCGATGTATGATTTTACTTCAATTTGGGAAGACTGTACATATATAAATATAAGATTGTAATGATTTGATGACAAACTATCATTCTATCAAGATTTATAGTGTTTTTGCCAAGTTATTTGGCAAATTGGTGAAGTCAAAGTTGATCACATGGACTTAATCTCACCCAAAAAAGTTACATCTCCAAGCAAGTTTTTGTCCTACATACAACATCATTGACCATATCTTAGCCTTGTGTGTTTTATAGGAAAAATCTAAGTTTAATGAAAAAACTTTGTTTTGCGCTTTCATCAATTTTAAGAAAGCTTTTAACACTGTAACTTGTGAGCTTTTATGAAAAAGGTTGCAAGTCATTGGATTATCACCAAATCTCTTTGTAGCTGTGGCCACATTATATCATTTTTTGTGGGTCAAGATCAACATTTCTCAAACTAATGGTTTGACTATCATTGAAATGATTCAAGTTTGTACTCTCTCTCCATTGCTATTTGGAGTTTTTATATATGATATTGAAAACTGGTTGGAGTCATGTGATAGTGAAGGTGTCAAGCTTAGAAATTTTGTCATCAAAGTTCTCTTATATACAGATGATATCACATAACTAACATGTTATGTTATTAGTTTACAGAAACTCCTATACACTTTGGCTAGATTTTGTACCCAGAATTAGATGGAGGTAAATATAAAAAAGTCTAAAGTCATGATAGTTGTTATTAGATCTAAGTTATACTTCTATTACATTGATCTAGAATTAAAAAAGTTGAAGAGTTATAAATATCTAAGCATTGATTTTTCTAATGATTATAGTTGAACACTTTGAATGCAAAAGAGAGTAGAAGATGGTTACAAAGTTCTAAAATCATTGTTAAATCGGTGTAAAAGAGCTCACTAGTTTCTTTGAATCTTAGAAAATTTTTACTCAGAAGCTTAGTGTTGTTGGTAATATTATATGGTATCCAAGTGAGGTATTGATTGTAAGAATACAGGTTGAGAGTATATGAATACGGTGTAAAAGATCTTTCTAAAAGAAGAATTGGATGTAAGAAACAAAACCTCATATGTTATTCTTCTTGGAGAAACAAGTTGTCTACCTTTAGAGGCTGAAGCTCTATACTTGACCATCATTTACATTAGAAGGGTGATGATCTCTTCATGCTTCTCACCTTCCTCTTTAAGCTTTGCATGCCACATGTTCTAAGGAATGGTTAGCGTATGTGATAACTTGGTTTTTGAGGTGGAATGTGGCAAAACGCGATTGGAACCTGCAACCTATGGCACTCCGAAATTGTCTACATTATTTGGAGCCAGCGAGACATCAAGATGCAGTTTTATCAACTTCATGTGAATCCTATGCTTGTTTCTAGTGGACAAGAATAACTACTTGGAGTGATATCTTCATCCTTACGTCATATTATCGGTAGACATAAAAATGAATCTCATAGGCTTAGAATTGAGGAAGTATATTGGTTTAATATAGATAGGAGTGAGCTTATTTGTAGATTATGTGACGGTGGGTATATTGAAGATGAAGAGCATGTAGGTTATTTGTCCTAGGTACGAAGAGATTAGACTTGATCATAATATAGATGTGGAGAAATTCTATTCTTTATTATAGTTAGTTTATTTTGATTTAGTTGTTATCGTTCTAGTGGTCTTGGCACTAGCTAGGGATTTAACTTTGGGGTCTTTTTTCTTGTTTGTGGTTTTTTTTGCTTGTATTGTTTTTCAACCTTTTGACCCTTTGGATCCCCGAGCTTGATCAAATACCATTTACGTTATCTCCAAGGTCAAAGTACTATCTTTCGCTGACATCTCTTTTGAGCTTTTTGCCTTCCCTTTTCCTACCACCACTTCCTCCATCTCATTCTCTAGAGGTAACGTGTATCTAGAGACACCTTCCCTCACCGTACCTTCACATCCCTAATCCACTCGCGTTCCGGAACTTTGTTTAAGGTTTGAGATAATAATCACTCTCTCGTCCACGTTAAACTCCGTAAGCTATTTTTATCCTGACACCACTCTCACAATATAAATAACATAAATGTAATTCGTTAAATTAAATTTGATGCAAATGAACCATTAGAATGACAAAAAAAAGGCAGAGAGAAACAAGGTGAACAAAAGAGGAATAAATATTAAGCAAAAAATTGTCACATTAAATGCGTAGGAACTTAAATTCACCTAGAAGTAAAAGTAATATCTTTTACATGTTATTTCATATATTGCCAACAAAAATGCCAGGCTAGCAAACGTCTGTGATTCTTGCTCGTATGTAAGTAAGATTAACTTTAATGAATATGTCAAATTTTTTACTTTTTGTAGCGACATGTTAAGTAACTTCCACTATATTTCACGATTTTTTAATATCATAGCATTTTGTGTAATCTGTACGTTTATTTTAGTTTATATCGTTGTTCAGAGGTAGTGGATAGTACACTTCACAAGAAACCAACCATGAACAAAACTATTTTCGACCTAGAAACATTAAGTCTCTTAGTTACAAAGTTAATCTTTAACAGCGGAGTGCTCTTGTGCGAGTGCCGATTAGTTTGAATCCTCCCGCAGTTCTGGTGTCGTTAGTGTCTGCTAACAGTCTGTAAATCTATGCCAGAATATAATATGATCATTTAGACGTATGAGTGATAAAATATGTTTAGCTGTGTTTTTGTTGTTATCGATGTGAAAATTTGATAACTTTTGCATAAAGAATCCGTGGCAGCGAAGTTGCCGCAATTGAGGCTAAAATGAAAGATCAGTTGTAGAACTTCTGATACTAAAGTTCTCATTCGAATAGATTGCACGGTAAAACATTTCAACCCTCTCGATTGACCCACTTTGCGCATTTGTCGTTCTTACTCTATAAGATTTTTCAACTGTGAGAACATGGAATGCTTGTAGAACCCGTATCACCCATTTGGATTCAATTTCGCAATTTTCCCCACTCGAGAGTTTTAAGCATATGTTACAGTTCACTTCTTTCTCTGTGGCTGACATATTCTCCACAATTCGTACCAACCGTTTGCGGAGACGACCTGATAATCAATGAGGGCGAAAAGTTCGCTACCTGCAGACCCTGCTGATGTTCCAACGTGGCACCACTTTCGGCTTTCATCAGACCCACCAAATAAAATCCGATACAGTATGAGATCCCAGGCTTGACGAGATTGATGAGACTGTGGAGCTCTTTCATGCGTTGGACCATCAATTCGATATGATGAGTTCGTTGATAACGAATTATGTTTGCTCAAGTACGATAGATTCTGCAGAACTCAAAATGATGAATCGTTGTGGATGTTCCTCGTGATCAGCGACGAGAATACAGAGCTTGGAGACATTAACCACGGCCTCTGACAAAAAAGACCGAGAGGAAATGTACTCGCCGAAGATATACAACCTCGAAGCTCTTCTCAGTGTACGTATTCATGTGGTCTAGCGAGATGATCACAAAGAACATACATTTCAAGAGAAAAGCGACAGACAGAAAGTTGCTGCTGCGTCACAAGGACCGAGACGCCCACGTCAACATACGAGGTGCAGAGTAGTTCAGCCAATGATCTGGAAAAAGAAAAGAGACAGAAGTTCAGCGAGTTCGAGTGGCACTCACCGGCACAGGAGAGAATGTTTCTTCTCAAGAGGCAGACGTAGGGCGAATGAGGAAAGCAACATCCTCGATTGGGAACCCATTTCCACCTACCTTGCCTTTTGTCCCCTCACATGAGGGCCTTAAATGAGCGAGGACTGTGAAGGACCTCGATTCGTTGGCCTGATGAACCATCGAAACTATTGAGACAAAAAGGTCTTCCTTGACAGGTGACCTAAGACTCCACAAAGTTGTCATCATTCAAAGCAGAGCGTTGACGAATGTTTGCTTTCGCTCAACGGCTCATTCCTGTCTCAGAAAACATACGCCAAGTGAATAAAACACCGAGAAATTGAAGGAAGCATGAGAGGCGTGAGCGCGAGATATGGCCATGTTCACTGACAGACGACGTAGACGACCGCGTTGTAATATGGAAGTCTGCAAATGGACCTGAGAGCTCGAAAAAACTACGCTTTTTCAGTCAGTCGTACGTCATTATGCACAATATATTTACTCAATTTATACACAACTTCATGAATCATTTCTAAGCAAGGCATTTACTACTTCTTCTTGAAGCTTGGGTGTGAGTAGCTTGCCTTGCCTTCATCACCGCATGAAGCTGGTCTTCAGGTCCAGAAGCCGAAGCTGTATTCAGAACATGAGACTCAGAAAACTCTGTATATCTGCAGAACAGATAACAAACTTACCTATAGAAAACAAAACGAAGAGAAGAAAACATACAGAGGAGGAGAAGAAAGCATCACATGGACAACACCGTAAATGATCCCGATGAGGCAAACTCCAGAAGTGCAACAGGAGTATTCACCCGGTGATCTCTCGAGTAGTTCCCACTCTTCGACTTTTCTAAGCATCTTTATTGGGAGGGTTCGTCATTCTGACATTGAGTAAGAAAATTACTCCGAAGGTCGACACAAAATATGTATGCTTGCAATCACCTAACCGGACTTGGACATGGTGTTTCTACTATCACTGAGAAAGAACTTTGTTAGTGACACTAATCACTCTGAAACGCTAACTAATGAATGCACTGAATTCCAAGGAAGCTGTTGATCGATACGGCCGTGATTCCTATTAGACTAGGAATCAACACTCTGCGACAGAGAAGGCTCTAAAAAATGGTCACTTAGTAACTGCATCATTATCTTGATTTGCGAAAGCTTTGGTTGACTACAAAACGCATCTACTTATCACATATTCAGTGGCTGGGTTGTGAAGACCAGGTGTACCTAGGGGAAGTAGCCTCCAAGTGGCATCCTCAAAACAGTCTTGTTAAATTAAACAGCAGAAGCCTTCTTGAAGACCAGGCAGAATATGGTCGTCTGGGACTGCCTTCTCAAGGTCTCAAATATAAACTATCTCATCCCCGTTGCGTAAGTATCTGTGCGTCTTCTTGGATCCGGAGAACTAGGCACATTTGTACCGCCGGCTCCAGGGTTCTTTCGAACATCAGGCGACGTGGGAACATAGTTGCCCGGCAGAGTTTGACGACGAACATCAGGAGAAATTCCCACTGTCTGAGAACCTGGGCCGAAAATTCCTGTGGCCGAATGTCGTCTGGGATCTGGTGAATTCGGCACGTACAAACCCTGGGCCGAATGTCGTCGTGGATCTGGTGACTTGGGCGTGCTCAAAGCTGCTGCAGCGCTCACTTGCCTCCGGATGTCTGGGGTTCCTGATGACCCGTATCTGGCAGTGGAAGGAGAATTCGGTACTCCAGAGAACGATCCTGATCCGGACATCAATTTCCTGATGTCAGGGGATGCAGGGGCAGCTAGAGGCTTCCTGATTGGAGAGCTGGAAGGCGACGGTAAAACACCGTCCTCATCTGTAGTCACCTCCCTTAGTACGTCATCTACTGCCTTCTCCAACTCCTCGATGCGCGAAGCCATTTCATCAAGTAAGGATCGGTCAAGGTTCCAACGGGTTCATTCAAAACATGCTCCACGGACCAACCACATCACAAGATAAACCAAATCTTTTCGTGTCTACGTTCTCAACAAACGCTCATTTATTCTTTAGCACAATCTATGGCCAGACACCAAAAACTACGCTGAAATTGAAGTTCGGCTACGGCAGATTGCAGGTCCAGACTTTTAAATTTGCATAAAACTCCACGCTCAGCCATCAATCTCTCACCAATCCCGACTGCGACAGTAGCGGGCTCAAAATTGGTTCGACTAGCAAGGTCATACTGTTCGTCACGTTTTCGGCCTGTGAGATGGGATTGAGTGCCATAGAAAGCGTGTGCAATCATGATTTAGAAAAACCACCCGCTACATCTAAATGGCAGTCTCCAGAGAACAGCTCGAGGAAAGAAGCCTGTCCCAATCCACCGTGTCGGTCTCTGGACCGTACCTGGTAAAAACCCTCTCGAGACAGTGACCCCCGTGACTAGAAATAAGGAGAGAACTATTGATGCAATTGGACAAGAATATTCGCGTGGCATTTGCAATCTTCAGGACAAGCACCCATCAACCACATCGTTGACAACATTTATGATGAGGATATTTCTCACGATTATGGCATCGGACATCGACTGGAATCGCAGTTGCTGCAAAATCCACGCAATGAAGACTGTAAGGCGAACATAAAGCTCTCATCAAGCATCGAGACTTCGAAACTTCATCGCTGAAACTACAAGGTTTGCAGTGAACTAATACAGGGTCGTCGGTCAGGACGCAGCTTTGATACTTATACGATGGCCTTCAGGAACAGAAGAGAGTGAGCAAGCAATGCAACAGGATGCCACGCAACTCACCATTTGCTGCAGCAGATTTTGGACCTGCACTTACCACCACGCAATGTCTTAGTTTCTCAGCTTTCAAGGGCTTCATGCCAAGATGACACTTCGGGTTTGTGCACCTCAATCAGACGCGTTAGTGACCACAAATAAACTTCATCGAGAGCTCATTGCCTTCTCGTCTGGCGTACACGTCTACGTAACTACATTGTCTAAAAGAGCAAATGAGGTTCTCTGGCCTTTGAATTCCGAGGTTTGTCTTTGTCTCTCTCTTCTGATCTGAGCGTAATGCGGAGAATTCCTTCGTTCGTTCACTTTCTCATTTTCTCTCTCCCCGGGCTGTGGGCCCATATCGCTCCAGGTGTCTGAGCTCTCTACATAGATAATTTGGGCATAGCAGTGCCCGAATAATACATGGAACAAAATTGCACCCCAAGGTAGGATTGAGAAAGAGAGAATTTGAGACTCTTGAACTACTTACAAAAGCTGTGAGGTCGGCAGTGCTCTGAGGAGTGTCGACAGCTCCTCCACCAGCTCCTCCACCCTCGGAAGCACCTGCTTCGTGCATCCCGGGGCCGAGAGAGAAACCGGAGCCATATTTCGCTTCTTGTGCGCGTAAGAAAGGAGAGTCCTGCACTCGACCAGAGTACGGGGAATCCATCATTCGGCCGCCCATGAAAGGAGAATCCTGCCAGACACAGGCAAGGGGTGTGAAACTTGGTCAGGCTCGTGACAATATACCGAAAGAGTGAGTCAGGGCAATAGTATGATCTCCTGATCACCACTAGCATGTAGGCACTCAATCACACAACCGCCTGTAAATTGTTCTCACTGACCATGTCTTCGTGACTCCAATTCCAGCGAGTGCTCTGGATTCTGCGGAATAGGCTGGCCTGTACTGGTCCGACTGCAAGGGATGGGAGGGTGTCAAGGATTCCTCAATCCTAACCGAGCGACTACCAAAAATTCTGGGGTTCCAGATTCGCCCGACAGAATTAGAGAGGTCTCACGCATCGGAATCTTGGGGCCTTCGGTTCCTGACCAGCTTCCTTATTCTATACACCTCCAGGTGAGCCATGAATTGCAGCAACACTCCTCGTGCCTCCTCGAGAAAATTGTCTCATATCCACTGTGTACTCGACGTTTCCTGCCGACTACGCTCTGCCCCGCTCCACACCTGCCTTCTCCCGTCGCAATGCGGTCCCGTCCCGAGTCAAATTCTACTGTTCGGCCTCTTCCGCCTGCGCCTTCCTTCCTTCCTTCCCTCCAGCAGAAGCGCTAGCTGTTCGAACTGCGGCAGCTGAGGTCAACAATTCCCGTCATAGAAAACTCAATCGCTCCAGATTCTGCCGTGCATCTGACAAAAGTCCGACTGCGCACTCGAGAGATGACAATCGCACCGGCTCTGGTCTGCTGCGCCTTATCATTCATCTGCTCCCACAAGGTCTAGTCCTACGGCTCCGCGGGTCCCCCTGGACGGGAACGATGAAACGCTCACCCCGAATGGGAAATTACCAGCGGACCAACGTCCATCACCAGCCCGAGATCGCCATCCAAGCAATTAATGCTCCGGTGTTTAGGATCCCTATCCTCTCGGCCCTAAACTCCTGTCCACCCCGATGCTTTTACGTTCCGAAGCCCATCCGTGTCTCTTTATTGTTTAGTGAGGAATAACTTCGCCTTCTTGTCGTCACTCCTGTCCTTCGGGAGCCGAAAATGGCCGTATTTATCCGTTCTCTCCGCTAATTTCTCAGCCAATTCTCCAAGTGCTATACTTCCATTCGTGCACAATGCCGCCTCTATATATAGGGCGATCTCTGGCTGCACTCCCATTTACTCCCCAAGCACGTTGCCTGACACCGTTGAGGCGTTTCTCTTACATTAACCCATCGCTGGGATTACCTCATGAGCGGCTAATGCCAGCAGGCTTACCGTTAGTTCCAGCTGCTGACCACTTTTTGGATGAGGTTACTTTACAGTCCAGTGACATTCCTCGGAGATGAGTGCGAGTAATGAGCTCGATTTGCTCGACCTGGAGAAGGGGGTCCAGAAAGCTATATAAAGCTGTTACTGGAACGTTCTCAGGGTGGTCGTTTCAAGCTCACTCGTTCGAACAGGCTGTCCCGTATTGATCAGTTTCTTTCGCGGATTACATGCCAGTCGATATGGCCGCCATGTCATTCCAATAATTCACAATGAGTGATAAAACTGAGAGACTGAGAGAAGTGCACAAGAGTCCACTCTGTCGTCGAGAACACATTTGAATGCAGCTCGGGCATGAAATAGTCATTTCCCAAGAGACAGCCTCCGCGAAAATTTGGTCCCGTGGTTTGTACTTCCGTCCTGTTTTGGTCGATTTCTTTTCGACCCTTGGACTAACCGTCATTCCATATCTCGAAGACTGACCGATTTTGCCCTCTTCTCCTCCTCTCTGTGTGTGATAGACTACCACTGTAACCCCTACGTTAAATGTAAAATGTTTCACGGTTTCCGTTTGACACTACAGTACACTGCTGACGCCATATAAATCAGGGAGCATCTTTGCGCTGTGCTCGAAGGAAGCTTTTGTTCACTTTCGTCCCTTGTCCAGGACAGATGGGGTGGTCACACCTGGACACACCGGAATCTTTGCCTTCCCTGACAGTTTGCCGTCCACCTACATCCTACAACCCTGTCGTTGCTCTACTCAGAACCAAGCGGCCATGTCTGGTGGGCAGTTGACACCACCTTGCGCCAAAACTGGCGTTGCACAGACTGACACGAGGAATCCATCAGATGATCCCTTCGAGCCTTGATGGAATACGTCAGGTTCATTCGTTTAAGCTGGATGCGATTCCTTGTAGGTGTACTCTCTCCCGTGAGCTTCTGGGAGATCAGACGTGAAGCCAAATGTAGTGGTCCTTGTTAGAAATTCAGCTGAAGATCCTGCCAAGTTACCCAACTGCCGAACTCATTTCAAGCCTCGATCGATATATTTGGATCCTGGATGGGTGTCTTTGTGGTAGGAAGTATAACTCGGCTGCAAACCACTGCTTGCTTTCTTAAACAACTCTTCAATTTCATGTGAGGATTGGCAAGTATTGAAACGATATATTTGAGGCTTTCTTTGAACTCATTACGTCTCAGATTTCCTGCCATCAATATCTTCCTGTCTAACCCCATCTATATCTACAACTCTATTCATCAAAGGAAATTGCTCAGTCTTGTCTTGCTCTCTTGAATTTTGCCAGGAACGATCTCGGTTGTCGTCCTTTTTATGAGCATTGATATAGGACTTGAAGTAAAGAGCACTGAAAACAACAATCTGCACATACCCACAATCATGAAAATTACTCAATTAGATCAGGAGGCAAATCAATATTGAAGTGTAAATCATGTGCAAGCCAATGTGTACGCTTTACTGACACTCATTACGTCTGTCATGAGTTATGCTCTTGCATCTTCCGAGTCTCCGACCTATAAACCTCAACAAGCTATGGTGGGCAAAAACCAAAACCAATCATAATGCGATAAGAACACATTATGAAAATTACAAGGTAAAATTTTCTATAGAATACATACCGCTGCTCCCCATTGTTGCACTGTAAGGGGATGAGCAAACAGCAAACAAGACAAAAAGATGCTGATAAGCTGCACATCGACGAGAAGCTCAAAATTCAGAACAAGAAAACCATCTCAATTCAAACACTGCTGACATAGATCGAAAAAAACGGTAAGTTTGTGTAAAAAGCAAAGAACAAGTAGCATAAGCATGTCGCATTCTGGTTAACGTAGTTTGCCATTAGCTGCAACGCGATGGAATGTGTTCCAAGACCTCATTCTCACTCTTGAGAATGAGGTCTTGGAGGTTAGAGCAACTCACCTGTCTAGTGGTCATTAGAGTGGCGAAAATGAGAGCACCAAATGTCCGGATGGTGTATGAAATGAAAAATTGGCTGGTAGTAGCAGCCTGCAAAGACAGATACACAACAGAAATAAAGATATGATACGAAGAAAACAGCTGGCCTGCAGATGCAATCTTGCTATTGAGTTTCTGCTCGAGTAGGTAGAACCTGTTGAAAACGAGCGGATCCTTCTTTGTGCAAGCGATTGGGATGAAATGTTTACTAAACCCGTTGCGGACAATAGGACGTCCTATTGTCCGCATCACACCATTCCACTTCGTGACAGGGTTTGGATTAGAAAGTAAAAGGCCCAAGTTCGCTATCAAACCCTGCTCCAGCTTAAAACTGGTGTACTCGTTTCTAGGTTTTTCTTTCCTTCACGCGAATTGACAGGACAATTTCTTCAGTGTTTGGGGAAGGAATTGGCATTGCGCTCTTTGTATGAATAGAACAAATTCTAAGTAGACCATTTTTCTCTTTTGCGCTTTATCGAAGAGTCTTAACTCTTCTTAATTCCAAGAAGAAACTGCCTTAAAGTTGCATTTCTCTATACCTAGTTAAGTCCCTATAGAGGATACTGCTTTTTCATTGCCATCGCCAAATTCTTTGTTCCTTCTAGTCTTTTCTTTGAGGATTTCTCTCTTACATCTAATCACACTTATATGAAGTAATAAATAATCTCGGTGTTAGATTCTTTATATACTAAGTAGTGATATTTGTAAAGAGTAAAAATTAGTAACAAAGCTAATTTTGAACTCAAGTAGGGTTTGACAGCCATATACCACTCCAAAAACTAGTTTTTTAAGTTTGGACCTCAGATTCAAGTATGAACCTGAGATTGAAGAATAAGCAAATCCTCAACCACTTTAGAGATGAGGATTTTGAGTTAGTAAATTGAGTTAGGAAGCGTGAATCATGAACTATGTGGATGCTACTAGAATGATCATTTCCTCAAGTACTGGTCATACCTATTAGTGATGTATAGCTGAGTGGAGATGTAGTAGGCAATTTAACTATATTTCGAACAGGCTAAAGTCAAGAAAGGAGAGTGGGAAGTGTAATCTAGATTCTGATCTTTGTGTTCATTCTCAAAGGTGAAAAGAGTGATACCAAACTATCATTGATGCAAGAGTTAATAGAAATATCAGGTACCAATGATAATACATCTTAAAAACATTCTGATCAACTATTGCAACAGAGTTCATAGGGTTGCACGTCCATTACCCTTCCGTTGCCTTCAATTACATCTCTCAAAATCCATTTAACTCTAGAGGCTTAACTTATTTTTGTCATTCCCGTCGTATACTTCCTTGTTTCTTTTATTCTATTCTTTGGGTCCTCTCTCTAACATCTACATACACTTCAGAGTATCTTACTGGTGTTTCCAGGATGAATTTTGGCCAGTAACAACTAACAACGGATGGTGTAACCAAATGTTGATGACGTTGATGCACTAGTTCATCAAAATTATTTCCAGATATTTCAAAATCAATGTTTGATCTTTCTATAGACTCTTCCGGATTCGCGATAACTTGCTACGACTCCCAATAAACTCATATCTACGTTGGAAAATTAAGACTCGAATATCAGACTCTAAAAATCACACCCCTATTCTTAAATTGAGATCCACAGAAAATTAGTTTATAGTGTTAGCTGCAATCTCACTTTTCAGTAATCCAGCACTCAAAAGTGTGATCAAGACTTGAACAAATGATCAATGGCAAAGTATGAATGTTGACAACTGGCTTCAACTGTAACGTATGTTGAGATAAGATCTGTATATCTTGTTTTGAAAATATATACAGATTTTATGGTTCATACTCAAACCTAATGTCACACTCAAATACCTGTTCTTTAGAAGGCTAATGGCTGGAAAATCCTATTTCAACCCTGAAGTACATTGGTTGTTATTTCCAGTGAAAATTACTGAATATATTTTAGTTTTTACGATGACTATTCTGCTGCTAAGGTACAGTGCAACTGACATCCAAGATTAACCTTTAAATCCGACAACACCACAAAAAGCTGAGCCTTTTCAAGAAAATGGGTGTAGGTAACTCACACAGGATAGAAGAAGTATGTCGTACATACATTTTGGATGGCGAATTACAAAATTAATTGCCAGCAACCATTGTCCTTGGAGAAGTAGCCCTATAGAAAAGCAAAACATATTTAGGGACGAGTATTTTGCTCCAAGTGTTTCCGAGAAAGATGTACAATGTGATTTCCACTGACAAGAAGTATGAAATAATGAAACTCGTCATATCTGAGTGAAGCTAAAGTTAGGTGGTGTACCAGTGATACTCAGAACCCCAGAGCAGAGGGTAACATAGAATATCTGATTGAAGATATCCATATTGTATCCCTTGAATAACTTGTCCTGAAACGTGCTGGTGAATCCGTCAAATCTGAAATTGCAGTCTCAAATTACAAGCGGAACTGATCATAAAACAATCAATAAAACTGAACCGACTCGATGAAGCATAAAATATCTATGCAAAAAAGAGAAGTGAATCAATGCAGCACGTTCATAATTTTCAGCCGACAAGTGCATCCTTGCCTTCCAATCACAATGTTAAACGTTAAAATCTCATATAAAAACGTGATAACAATCGCTTCGTAAGATGGCCCTGTCCATGAGTTCAAGTATAATAATTTACAATCAGATACAGAGGAAGAGAAAAATACCCCAAATAGCCTGTCATGAGAAGAATACCCCACAGATTGTTTTCAGAGTCTCGTTTCAAGGGTGCTGATGCCTACAAATCCAGATAATTTACTTCATCTTCAATAATTTTGTGTTGAATCGAACACATACAGAATAAATATACTACTCGATAACAACAAATAGTTATCTCCGACTTGGCAAACGAGTGATCTGAGCTGTCATGAAACCAACGTAGTTTACGAGGCAATATTGTTATGTTTCGTGAATGCTGAAAAGGAGTAAACAATATATGAACAGAAACATAATAGAACAAGACGTGCCAATTGACGGAACAGTGCCTAGAGAATAACGAGACGATGGACAATAAAAAAATATTCAGGACTCTTACCGAAGTTAGAAAGAAAACTGCACATCCTACGGTAACCGAGGCGGCTACAATGTAATCGTGCCGGTTGTATCTCTTTTGCATGATAAATGTGCCCCAGACCTGCAGGTTTAAAGCTTCAAGGTCAGTCACAGATGCACAGTTTAATGCTGAGAAGGACTCAAACTTTTATTTTAAGCATCAATCTGGGTTGAGCAGAAGTTTATATGAAGAACTCAATTGAGAACTACAGAATCGGGCCAGTGTAAAGTGAGGTCTCGAGAATTGTCATCTTTTACCACTCACCATTACGGGTAACATCTTCGCACATTTTCCAAGCGTTTGCACTGGGAAACTTACATGTTTCAAAGCCTGTGTCACACATTTTACAAAATGTTTCATTATTTGGTGCAGAAACCTTGCAGAGTCTACTTTGCTGCTTCCTTCAGTTGTTATGCAGCGATGCGACAAGTAAAATTTAAAGGCTGTACTGTAGGAGTTCGAATCTTGAGTATTAAATGGTGCAAACACTTGGAGACATCCCTTGTAGGGATGAACAGGAGAAGGGACCTTCATAAAACATGGCGTATTGCCTAAAGACCATTCATATCAAGAAGTCATTACTTAACTTCTCTCCTATATTTGTTTAAAAATATAAGGTTTGCAAAGAAAAAGCAAACCTCATACTGACAAGTTGTTGAAAGGACGTTGGAGATGGAAACCGCTCCATACTTGTACACTGGTGCAACCGGAGCAATGTCCCTCCCCTTGACCTGATCTCAATCAGAAGCTAAAGTTCAACAAGTAGTAGTGAACTTTCTATCACCAAAGAAATACAAGAACTTTTCATAACGTCTGTCTAGTAGAGACAACCAGGATGGAAGTCCCAAGAAACTTCACTTGAAACAGGATGCAGAATATGGCAAGATAATATGCTTCTAAGTCTGTTTATTTACAAGAAACAAACCCAGAGCTTGAATGTACTTCAACGGCCCAAACAGAAATCACATCAAAAGTACATTCTAATTCAAGTCTACCCGGCACAATCAAATGTGAATGGATGCTTTCAATGTCCCCATGAACACTCACAAACTTCTCTCGTTATCTCTTGTTCGGTGCATACAAATTAGAATGATGATCTCTGGACTCCACTAAAAAGTGAGCATATTCGATCCAAAAAAAACTGCCTAAACGAGGATCAAGAACCATCCAAGACACTCACCAGAACAATTGTTGCAGTAGCAATTGAGGTTAAAACTCTGTTGCACAGTACAATAAACAGAGAGTATCTAAAATACTCTTTCTCCGCGCCATAAGGTGCACTCATGATCCTTTCCTATTCACAATCCAAGATCACATCAAATCACCAGGCTGATGTAATCTTACATGGCTATACAGCATTTTAGCCAAAATTCATACTGTTTATGGGCATACATATAATCGCTGGACTTGGCTTTTTGTTCATGTCTCATTAGATGATAGTTTCGTTTCAACCGAAACCTTTGATCCCACTTAAGGAGAAACATTATTTGGTGTACTGGACTTTACAAACTAGGGAAAAAACTTCGCGTAAATTGGCACTGGTCGTACTTGAAAGAAAAAGCCACAGTCCAACAAAAGACCCAACCACGATTTCTTCCGGAAAAATAGACAATTCGGTGAGCAAAATTGCTCTACGGGAGAGCTGTCGAAGCAAGAATATCAGGAAAACTAATAGAAAATCTGCGACATTCACATTCAAATATGAAAGCAAGACGTGAAAAAACAGGGGTTCTGAACCTGTAGAAGCCCATAGAGGACTAGGGTGGACATGACACCCACGATGCAGAAGGCTAATTTGGCGAAATCAGAGTGGCCCAGACTGTACAGCAGCTGAGGGCTGCCCATTTTCAGAGCCATCGAACCCTCCCGCACGAGGCTCTCCTGCCTTTCCACTTCGAAGACCGTCTCTTCCTTTCGTTCATTCAAGCGTCATTGTCTCCCACGTCGTACGTTTCACTCGCTGCCTTCTTTTCTTCCTGCTTTCCTTCCTTCCTTCCGCCAAAGGAATACCAAGCCACCTCGGATTCAGTAAAATCGACTGCAGAGCTTGATCGACAAGAATTCAGTCCGACACCGCCCTCACAACCGAGTCACACCCGTCCCGCGCAAGGCGAATCCATTTCGTCACCACCTCCAACAATCACACCAGTCTTTTTTCCGAGCCTATTTCCAGTCGATCCACTTGTTTGTTTGCTGTCTGCCCTCGCCACATTTCAATCTCTGTCACTTTCTCTCTTTCTTCCTTCCGCCCGCGCTGGTCAGGTCACATCAGGTCGGGACTCAGGGTCCCCAGTTCTGTCCATCGATCGATGACCGAGTAAACCAACGGAGCGCAATTCGCCTCGCGCGTGGGGGCTGGCAACAGCTCTGCGTTACTGCGTTACGCCCTGTTCCGACGACGCAAAGCAACTTCCGTGCACCGCATGGTGGATGCGGAACGCGTCAGAGCGAGAACCGTCGCATGCACCGGGCTGTAGCAGGTCACAGAGTACCCACCAACACGGTGAGAAACGTTGCTCGTATGCGTCAAAGCCGCACAGGGCAGCGTCAAGGCTCGGCAGAAGTCCGGAACCCGTATACCAGCCGTACCGAGCTCCAGCGCCCACGACTCTTTGTCGTCGCGGAAAGATCATGCCGTATATGTTGTTGATGAACGCACGAAGGACCATTCCAACGTGCGCGGGCTGTTGCGGGTACCCGACCTGCACAGACCGCCGACGGGGAAAGAAGGCTACGTCAGCGGAATAGCCTCATTACGTCCTTCCGTACCGTGGAATGCTCGAATCACGTCTGGCTCCAGAAAGCACTGCCGGTACTTCCTGACCACTCGTTCGCATTTTGAAACTGCATATTCCTGTCCTTTTCTCAAGATTAGCTTTCTGGTGAGCTCGTTTTGTGGATCAACAGTTGATGAAATGAGGTCTGATTCTCCGAACCTGGACTTCAATTTCATGTCGACGTTGTTCCTTCTTTTGTCTCGTCTGCCCCGTGCTGTGTACAGCTCGTGCTGATGTGGACTCTTCGTGGTTTCCTATTTATGTCCAGCGTGTACTTTTTTCGTCTGTCCACGTGTGCTGTCTTCCCTCTTCGGTAGGTGGAATGGGGTATTTGAAATTTGAGTTGCTCGCATGACACTCAGATACACCGTCTCTTGTGGACTATTGCTCGGTGGAAGACGAAGAATTAAAACTGGAACAAAAGAAGAAGAGTATGTGCGTGGACCTGAATTCTGTAGAATACAATACTTCAACGGAATTGAGCTCACCTCAGTACATTTGCCTATGATTGCTTGAAAGGTGCACAATTTGATGAATCAACCTAAGGAGCATTGGCCACTTTTGAAAGAAATGGCATCCAACAGAAGACAACTTTGCTGGGTTTTGCCAGGATATGAATAAATAAACAAAATCTGTGTTTATTTAGGGAAGTATTTAGATTGGGAAACTCAAGCTTCAAACGATACTCAAGTAATACAGGAGAGTGGCAAAGCCGGAATGCAAGGAAAATATGCACGACTGTGAATAACCATGCACCTTATTTAACGTAGAAACTTGCTCTATATATTGCTGTCATTCCAACATCAGCTCTCGTGTTGGCTTCATGCAATTCATGAAATAATGGTTCAGGCAATGTCCTCCTCATCTTTGGGGCCAGAAGATACGGAGAGAACAAGTCTCTCTATTCTTTCTGGCTAGAGATGAGTTGCCCGCACCTTTTATGTTGCATGCATGCAACTCGTGGGAAGACGGACTTGGGATCACTCAGTCGTTTTTATAAACTGAAATTGAAACTAATGTAACTGTAATAGACTTGGTTCTTAAAAATCACATGACGAACAACTTGGCTTCAATACAATGAACATGATATTTCAATTCAATCCACTATTTTTCTGTCATTAAAAGTAAAGCAATTGATATGTTAATGAACTTAAGTGTAAGAAGTAGTTGAGTAGAAGATTGAATACAAATAATGAAATTTTATCATCCCAAAAAATTTAAATATCTATATCTTCTACTGTATTTGAAAATCCTGTTAAGTCATATTGATTATATACACTATATTTTTATGTAGTCGTTAAAAAAATTTCAGATTCAATAAACTGTAATTTGTAATAATTTTTCTACATTTCAAAATTACTGATGATTAATAAAAAAAATATTAAAGAAATTAAATCATTATTCCGGAAATTAAAATTCCGGAAAATTTTTATTATCATAAAAAATGAAATTTTTTTACAAATTCTTCATTTAAGAGAATTCAAATATCTGAAATAATCTTTATAAATTCCAAATTTGGTTATTTGTATGAGTTGGCACTTTATTTTCAACAATTAACGCCACTTATCTTCTTATTTGACTCTTCTTAATTTTTCTAATTTCTTACTTTTCATTCAAATTATGTCTATTTTTTATTCTGTATCATAAGCATGTCACATTTGAAGTATATAATAAAAAATTAACAATCTTCACATCTTTTCAATTAATTTGAAATTTAAAATATCTGTTTTAAAAAATTGAAATATTGAAAATAAAAAAATTTGAAATTATCCTGCATATGACACAAAGATGTTTTTTTGTCCATGCTATTTCTTCTGGATGAAGAGTATATTTTGAAACTCCATTAAATTACAATAATTTGAAATACAATAGTTGTATCTATGTGTAATGAAGTATAAATCATAAAAAATTCATGACTAAACAATCATGTATATAGATTTTATCAAATACTAATATTTTTTTATACTTAAAAAAGTTAATGAATGGTGAAGAAAATTTGATTATATTATATTTGAATAAAAGTTTATTTTTTTCTTGTTTCAATATCATGTGATTTGTAAAGTAATCTACAAGACATCTGATCATTTCACAAGCACAAGAAAATAGAATCAAAATTTGAGATAATATATCGGTTGAAGATATTACACTACATTTGAAATTTGACTGATAATGTAAATTCATATATTTTTCAAATTTTAATAGGCTTGTAGCCTTAAACACTTATTGCATAATGCTCAATTACAAGGTTGATGATGATTCAATGGATTTTTCATATTTTAAATTGAAGAAAAAAAATTCTTCATTTTTCCATAAAAGGAAGAGTATTGTATAATTTGAACTTGTATTAATTCTCATTTAAAAAAATTTACATTCTTATTATTCATTAATGGTATTGTCAGAAAGTTTAATTATCGTGTTTTCAGAATTGAAAGTCTATAATCAATGGGGAGAAAAGAAAATCTAGTAGTGGAATTTTATTCAAAAGCGTTACAAAGTGGAAGGCAGTTACATGAACTCCCTATGTCTTTAAGTCTTCCCCATGACCATTGTTTTGATCACGCTTAGACTACTTGCCATTGTATGTCTAAGGTTTAATATATTAGACTCATAAAGTATCAAAATGTCCGTCCGTTCCGTACTTGCTTCTGCTATTTTTTTTCAGTTCCTTGTGTTTTTACATGAGTTGATGCCATTTCCATCGCGCATTTTATGTTATTTTATCTCATTCCATCCGTCTCATCTTCTACGAGCCCATGATGTTCTTCCGTTACCTTTCTTTCTTGACGATATTTCGGTTCCGCCATTTTGGTTTCCACCTTTCATCTTCTTGGCAAACCCCGAAGGACCAACATCTCTTTCTTTGTTTCTCCGTTTTCATTATCATTGTCCACGTGTGATGCCGCACATGGCTCACGAGGCATACGCATGGGGTTGCATCCCGTCCAGTTCGATGGGGTTCTCGTCTTCCATCATGATCCATCGATCCTTGCAGTCACCCGTCACGTCTCATCCCAAGTCATGTCTTCGGTGAAGCACATGGACATGCCATGTGGACGTTGGTGTAGTGGGGGTGGCTGCGGGCATAAAACGCACCCCCCCCTTCCCCCTTCTTGCCATTAGAGCATCTATCCCATTGATTCCTATGGCTTCGTTGGGGAGGCGAATTCCGGAATTGAGAGAGTCTATGCTATCACAGACATTTTTGAGAGAGTCTATGCTATCACAGTTCTGTCTCCACCAGCTTTTGACGTTTTGGCACAATTTCAGCCCCGGCCGCACATATATATATTTTGCATCTAGGCGTCGAGCATAAATAACTGCCACGTTTGTGAAGCCGAGCATAGTCCAACAAACGCTTGCTAGTGGCGGCCCAGTCTTTGACTTTCTCACAGCACAGAGAGGTTGCCCCGAGGAGGTGTGTCGAGTACGAAAAATCTACAAAGCGAACGCTCAAGTGAATGAGAAAATCTTTTGGTATTACTCAGGCTCACCACTCATGCACCTACAAATGCTACTGAGCTCAGTATTTCCAGTCTGAATTAGGGAATAATGAGTTTTGTAGGTTTTATCGTCACCAAACTCAAACGGGTCATCGACCCACCTCTAGATAGAAACCGGATAGGAGTACATGTAAGATGACAGGTTCAATCGACAATAATGTAGTCTGCAACTGATATACATGGACATATTTACATGCCAGCATTTTGTTTAGATGAGCTGGTTGTTTAGATGAATTTTAATTCCATGAGAAATAAAGTTTCTTGCAGAGAAGCATGTATGTGTTTTGCCTCCATTCTGTTTGAGATACGAAGTCTATACAAACAATTCCTTGAAGCTCATAATTGGGCCGCTTTCTTGCCCTGTTCATATCCTCTTGCCATGTTCCTTTCGAATGGTATTCTCTACTGTACCATTATGAGGATTTATACCAACAAGGATAAGGGAGATTCAATGGAGAAAGGCGGGACTCGCATGGTACAAGAACTCGATTTGAAACCATCGCTTTAAGCAGATATAAATAAGAGATGAATACTGTGTGGAAAAAGGGTAAGGCTTAGAGTCTGTTAGATTCTCATGTAACATCTAACACATACTAAATTGCTCACTAAGATGGAAAGAGAGGTCCTAGTAGTCTCAGAATCTCTTCACCAGTTACTGGTCGGGACCTAAGCACTGGTCAACATAGGTCGGTCCTGTCACTATTGTGACTACTGTCAGGAGAGAGATCTGGATCTTGTGCTAACCTCAATAGGGGTTAGTGGGTTGACCTTTATTGCGCGAAGTCTCAGTAGGCTAGCCATTCAAGGAGTTCTGCGATAGGTGAATTCGACAAGAAAACATTCTGTCAAGCTTTGAAAGATCTAGTCTCAAGAATCTGGCTCATACTCATGGCTGGGCGAGTACAGTTCCATTTTTTGCAGTCTCTTTGACCTTGAAACTCACCTGCTAAGAGTTCACCTGTTCCATGAGGAGACTTATGTCGTTGGACATCAAACACCATGAAGGAGATTGGTGTGCCAGAAAGACCTTGTAAAATGCATGTGATCTTCGCGTCCAGAATAGCGGTCACTGTATATTCTGTTTCAAAATCATCAGACTTAACTGACGTTGGCACGAGTGAGATAAGTATGTCTGTATCTTGCTTGCCCACTTGATTTGCACATAGTTGACAAAGTCTTTGATGTAGTAATTCTCTCAGGACCCTTCGCTTGTCACATGCGTGAACCAAGAGCACGGCTTATATTGCACTTGCGGCTAGCCTTAGTCAACTTGGACTCCTCATCCTTCTAAAAAACTCAAATCATGCTAGCACCTCATTGTTAAACAAATATCATACACGGTTGAAGCCTTCATAGATAATATGAGAAAGTTGAATATATTATACACCTATAGAAGTGAAGCAGATCACAGTTTACATTCCTGTATACTCATAACTTGTGGGAGTCAAAGACAGTACCACGCATGCAGAGAGTCGTTGGTTTTCGCCCTTCAGTATGCAGCAAAGAGTTTAGCTTTGATGAACAATAAAGAACGGTCGGATTACAAAGAATACAATTCTCATCTCTTGGGTAAGGGTACTCAAAAATGTTATGAGCTTCTGGTGACTCCAGTTTTATTCTTCCCGTAAACTCATATGGTGGAGCTTATGCTTTATTTGTCTAAATATCGGATGGCAAATAATCGAAAGATTTAACGTTTTTGAGCAATATCTTGTGTGGGACAATCTTTCTTATTTTATCTCAGAATGTTGGTTTTGTAACTCCGGATTGTGTGGATGTGCACTAAGACTACATACTACATTCCTTTAACTTCCCACCAGGTCTCGAGGATTGTGACCAAGTGGCGTGTTCTTATAACACACTAAGATGCAGAGCTTGAGGAAACTCTGAAAACATTCCGTCCACAATGTCGAGGACGTTTGATCGACAGATTTCTCGTGAGGGTAGTGTCTGATGACGGTTTGATCTACGCCTGTCTTGTGGTAGGAATGTTTAATCTTTGAATCAACTGTGTCTGGCCAATGTATCAATTCATGCAAATTTGGTCACACCCAAAAAGACAAACCGAGATGTAATGCCGGGTTCCCCTTTCTGCGAGAAGAGCGAGGGAAAACATGAGCCAAGTGATAGTTTCTTTCACGTGGAAGCTCCATGTGCCAAAGGAGCTTCTACGTGAAAGAAACTATCACTTGGCTGCTGGCACTCCCTACATTCCGATATATCTTGAGACCATACTCCTGCTGAAATATTCGTTTTTCAAAATCATGAACGTCTGGATTATTTCCGGGACTTAGAGTTTGAGATAGCGTGTGACCATCATCCGAGATTGGAGGGGAGCCGCAAATTAAGGGAACTTTGTCAACCCTCATGCCTATACTCAAAACATTCATTAGTTGGTGCCACTCTCAGTAATGATCTTGACCTATATACACTAATTAAACCCTTGGCTAGATCAACCCCGACCGTATGCCCATCCGACCGTGAAGAACTCACCCGCCAATCGCGCACACTCTAGAAGCCGTCGGATGGCATACGGTCTAATTAACGTCAAGTATTGTACAATAATGGCTGCAAGTTTTCATTTAGCGTGTGATCATACCGATGAAAAGTTTTATGGACATAATACACTTACGAGCGCCAAAACATCCACTCTTTTCAGATCGAGTGTACCATTTTGAAAGTAACAACATGAGATTTTAGATTAATTTCAAAAATAAAATCATCAAGCGATTTGCTGATTTTGCTGAAAAACCGCAGTATTGACATATTATATTGTTCACCACTAGTTAGTATTCGAAACCTGATCATCAATGACTGAAAGGAGAAATACCTTTGACCAGATAGACCGTGGCCGCATTAATTTAGCACATGCACTAATTAAGAGGATGAGTATGATCAAACTCGGCTTTGGAAACGGTTGTTTCAAAGCTGGACCTGCTCAACAGATGGCGATGATTGAGCAGTGATGAGACAAGCCAAGAAAGTGGGAAACGACAGGCACACAAACAGGCTCTTTTCCTAGCGGTGACAGGTCAATACATAGCTGCCGAAGAAGAGCAATATGTACAAGTTCAATAAGGCAGATAAAATCATTTGCCCATCGTGTACAAAGAGAATGTAGATCATTCGTGAACCGAGGGATCGGGATATCAACACATAATCTACGTGGATTCAAGACAGTCTTTTCTCTTCAGATAAGTTTCTCCGTGGTAAGAGAATCTCCTGCTATTAACCAAGCATCCCTGGGCACTGATCGTGGGGGATAGGGGCGGAGCAGGAGTATCAAAGACATAGATGGCTGGCTACCCGAAAGGGATGTTCCCTCCTCTTCTCCCGGCTTCCGAATATTCCTCACCGTCAGTTGTACACCACAACAGGAAGTTTCTCCATCTCTTAAATTCTCCTTGCGCTGTGTGTACATTTACAGTGCTTGTACTTTCGTCATGAGAGTAAAATGATGATACGGTGGCAGAGTCCGTCAGTGTACACACATACAAATGTAAGCCGGGACTGTAGTGGTTGTAGTACCTTTGGTCCTTTGACCGGGTCGTCGAGTCTAGTGTGCTCTAGGAGTCTAGCCGCGTAGACGACCGTGTCGTCTATTCGCGCGGTCGTAAGTACGCCCCGACTTTGAGTCGTAGGTACAGTCTTGTACATCTCACGTATTACGGTATTGAATACAGCAAAATGCCACCGGTGTCGTCTTAATGACCTCTCAACTTGGTAGTTTGATAGATACTTTCCATTACGCTGTACTGTAATGAAGGGCTTACACGGTTGCAGTTAAGGATACAAACCTACAGAGTATTACGTTATGTCCTGTTAACGCATTGGGACTCTGGGTTTTGTTTCCCAAATGAAATTGACCAATATTTATACCGAGTATAAATAATCCAATACATACGTATATTTCGGTGACCCTTGATAAAGACAGTAAAGTTAAGTACTTACTATGTGTACAACGGTATCACCCACTGTAGTACTCGAATTTGCAACAGTGAGGGATATTTGGAAAGTACTGCTTCAAATGGAGCTTCTGATGGAGATTGACAATGGCATGCATGACATATAAGGGGTTCCTGGAGATGGAGAGGATGGTACCTGGAATTCTGCAGGAGCACCCTTCAGAATCGAAACCTCGTTCATCGATGATCCAGTTACACAATTACAAAGCTTGCCGGCTTTCGACCTCACTCTGCGGTAGTTTCGGATTTGTCGTTGTTTTACCGAGTGATTTACTACTACTCACGTTCAGCCAATCGTCGAGTCCTTCCCACGCTCAGAATATTGGCTAGTGGCAGGAATGGGATGGGAAGTCGAAAATTCATCTTTCAGAACTAACGACTTTCACCTTCACTGAGTTATCGCAGGGTACTTCTGACCAGGATGGACAGGTGAAGCTGAATAAATAATGTCTCTAGAGAAGTTTTATTCGGGTAATATGATGGCCGTGTAAAATGAGCCCCTCGGCTTCTGTCTCTCTTGCTGTAAACTTTTGCCCACCAACCATTCACAGCAAGGTGGACCTGGAAGTTTTCTTGTATTTACTTCACTGAGTACAGCCCTTGAGTTTTCTCTATTTCTCCAGCTCCTGCTCACAAGGCCAGATAGCGTGTTGGGCTTTCGTGTTTTTATCAACAGGAAATTATCGGTGAAATCAGTTTAGTCCTGGCGGGGTATGAGGTACGCATTACCAACAACTTACAGGCAACTAGCCGACCATCAATTCTGTCAGCTTCCCTCCCTGGTTTAGAAGAGTCCAGAATTACCAGGTGGACTGTAACTACGTGTAGTGAGTGGTAAGTCAATGTACATCAATCATGTCTCATGATATTTATCTGGGTGCTCGTCGACATTACACGGAATTCACTTCAGTTGGGAGACAAACATTGACAAGCGCGAAAACGACCAGATCGTAATTCTCGAAGTAGACCTTCTTCTTCAGCGATATGCGAAAACTGAACTTCCAGTCACAAAATCGAGTACAGTAAGCAACGTGACTAACAGCTTCTTGTAATTTGTCTATGGTGTCCAGAACCGCGAGTGAAATTTCTGTGTTGAACACTTGGACATTTCATTGCAGGCACATGCACATTGTGCGCATATCCACTGTGAACCGACAACACCAACACTGCACCTTTATAAAGAATCTGACATGATGAATTGTTAAATGTGTAGCTCAACATGATGCACGTCAGCTTTATTAATAGCTTTACTTGCACAAGGTGACAACATCAACTCTATTCGCAGTCAAAAATTAGGTGAAGAAGTCGTTTCCTGGTGGCGGTGCCGTGGTAACGGAAAGAAACCACAATTACAAATGGTTGGACTTCCATACCAGTTTACAAAGGCAATCAGACGGGTGGAGATGGGAGTTGGGTTCTGCGCTGAAACAAACCCCCATATCCACCCATGGACTGCTCGAAAATGAAAGGGGTCGGGGAATTCTTCTGATTCCATGTAAGTCCAACCCTTCACTTTCAATCCTCTCGTCTAACTACAAGTGTCCAATTATCGACTAAATCTACCAGTCACCGACCACCTCTACCTCTTCCTGAGCAAGGTAACCACCGCCCTTGTAGGACATCTCAAGACCACTAACACGACGACCCGACAATTCCCTTCTCGTGAATATGTTCTCAGCATCCCAGAGAACTTGCACGAATTTCTACCTCAGTTCTCTGAACTTCCGATAACTCCAAAATGTACGTACAGCCTGACATGTAGCAAGGCTCATGGCAAAATTACTCCGGCAATGAACTGACTATAAGGGTGGGCATATCGTAACGAAGTAGCCAGTAAGGAAGGAGCTTACGTAAAGAAAAAAAATAAGAAAAAAACTCCAGGTGTAGGAGGCTGGGCCGACAGTAAACGATAGCTGATTTTCAAGGTCGTTGAATATCTTCGGGATCGACACATGCTTTTAGGAAGCTACACTAAAAGGAAATGTTCTACAGCAGGTTTCAGGAAGAATGATGCTGAGTAAGGAAGGGAGGGGAGTGAGCTATGTAGGAAGCTACAGTATGATTAGGGGCGTGCTAGCTGTCCATTCATCAGATAACATGGCGAGGACGGAATCGGGTCTTACATCGAAGGGCTCGACGAATCTAAGGATGCAAGTCTCTGTCTTTTGTTGCTGGAGCCTGGCGACTGATCTCCAAGCCCTGACCTCTCCATCACAGCCCGCAAAGCTTCCATTACAGACGACACAGATAGAGCTTCTTTGTCATCCTCGTCGCTACCCTCATCGCTTCTGGTCATCAGTAGGACATTTTTTATGCGCCCGCCCAGTGTTGCTATCTCAGCCTTAACGGTCTGAAGCCTCAGAGTGTGCAGCGTCCTCATAAGATCCGGATAAAGATCTGGTCGATCATCACAGCAAAGAGACGCTCGATAGTAAGTCCGTCCATCTCCAATCTCGCTCGACGAAGGGTCCACGTCCACAGTCAGCTCGTCCACATCTGAAGGTACTGGACCCCCTTCGGCGATGTCGGCTGCTTGCCGCTTGAGAAACTTTAAATGGTCTATAACCTCTCCGAGCAGTGATGCCTTGTCCGTCTGCACAACCACACATGCAAAGCGTCAACACAAAGTTTATCCTTTCTCGTCACTTAAGGAGTGTAACCCACTGTTTAAAACTCATGTGTACGTTTATAATGTTATCAACTTATCCTGAACACTGGCTTCCACTCCACTAGTTTAACTCGTAAGACAGTCGACCGTGAGCATGAATCAGACCCGATCGCACAACTGTACCCACAAAACAGCAATGCGATCAATGCAATTGCCCACTGATCAGGACTTTGTGCGAATGGAGGAGGATGAGTATTATCGATGCTTCCATACTGGCTTCTCAAGTCTCGTGTTTGGTCGCCAAGTGACACGATTCACCTAGTACGTCCACAAGTCGCTTCGGGCACACGATTGTCTCCGTCACAAAGTTATTTTCCATTATCAATGACATCGGATGTACAGAGCAGTCAGAAGGTTCTCGACTCTAACGATCGCCATTGATTAGCGTGTGACCACAAAGAAACATACTTTGCGCGTGTGGTGTAGACCTCGTAAAAGAACTGGGGCCTGAGCAACCCCCTGACTGTCATCGTACGACAAGAGGCGGTGATGATCTTGGGGTCCGATGACGGCGACACATTCTTGTCAAAACAAGTGATTACCCACCCAGTGAATGTCAGGTGCAAGTCCACCGGTTATTGGCACTCAGCCTCCTCAGGACCTGAGAAGGCTGAGTGCCAATAATTGTCAAGCTTTGTACGACCTGGGATCCAGATGCCAGTTCATTTAGCTGCGCCACAGATATTCAGGATGGGAGAGTGACCCGATGCTATATTGATTCATCGACAGGAACTGCTTGTCCAGTGTACGATTGGACCTCCCGTTCACGTTTGGAGAGGATCTCAACGAGCATAACAGCTTCAAACCGCCATCACACTCGAGCCAGCTGCCAAATCAGACATTTACAACGCTACACCTCATATGCATTATGATGACTCTTACTTACCTTAGTGGAACTGGGAAGGTTGTTCCGTAATGTCGCGAGATGAGTGTTGATCCGCTCACGCCTCCTCCTCTCCGCTTCACTGTGACTCTTCGAGGCAGCCAGTGCCTTGGCATCGAGGATCTCCTGAGGAGTCAACTTCGACAGGTTGATCAGCTCGCCTTTCGACACGTCCAGGACCAGGGATCCTCCGTTAGCTTGCGCAGGACCTGAAGGTGGAGGCAGCTGCTGCTTCCCTCGTTCCCGGGAAGCACCACTAGAGCTAGAGCCGTGAACGAGCCCGTCATCGTAACTGAACGAATTCAAAGAGCTTCTTCCCACCAGCTGGTGCTCGGCATTCGGCAAAAGCGGGCTTCCGAAAAGCTGCGTCTGGGGAAGACGGTCATAACCCAGGGATGATGTCGACTGCCCGAGCATCGAGGGAAAGTTGGATGAGATGAAAGCCTCCTGCTTCGGAAGCAAGTGGTTGAACTGCATTGATCGCGAAGCAGTGTGGTGATCCAACAACCCTCGCGATGCTGCTGCCGTCGAGACGCTGAACAAAGCCGAAGGGCCGGAGCTGGTACATGTTGCCAACGATTGCGCGCCCGGCCAAACTCCAGAATTTGGCAACGCTGGCATGGCGAAGTTGGGTTCCTCCAGAACAGGTTTGTTGAAAGGTCTGATGAAGCCGGAATCCGGCGTGATTTGCCACTGTGAGCACAAATCTAAGCGCCCCGTTGCTTCTCCACCCATTGACCACACAAAAGGAGAGCGTAATCAATCTCCACTCCAAGAAATCTCTCGGTAGCTGACGGTGTCACGTCAATCCATCGACTCCCGAGACCAACGCTTCAGCTGATGGTGATTATCAGAAGTCCATGGCAGCCGGAGGAGCTCTTGACTCAACTATGGCTCAGATTTATTTCTTGCCCGATTGATCACGATAACATTAGCTGCCATCCATCGTTCCGGGGCCGCTCGAAAAAGCTTCAAAGCCGTGAAGTCTTTGAACAAACTCACGAGCCTAGGATAGCTGGGAGCTTTAACATTTGTCGTAGATCAAGATACCGCATACTCCATCCTCACCTTTAGTCTGCCGGTGATTTCTTGGGCTATGGCCGACTACTCTCGCCATCGCCGCTGAATGATATTCGGCTATGAAATTTGCAAGAAGCCCTCAAGATCGTCGTCCGGCGTTGCAGGCGAAGAAGTGAGGAAGATACTTCAGATGATCCGCAGCAGTAAAGAAGCAATCTTCGCAAGAACAATCCACCACAACAGAAACTCGTGATTCCTGGATGGTGTGCAGCCGACTGACCATCTCAACATGGGCACTACACCCGAAGCACCACCCTCTGCAAACAATTGGAGCTGAAAATATTATGGAATCCGCGTACTATTCCCGGCCATGGATATATATTTCGATAGTCCGCAAGATTTTGCAGGTTCCTGTTCTTCTGAATCTCTCTCTTTAAGCTGTTAGGTACGGGCTATAAGGTGACATCTGATGTTGGAACTTCGAACCCTCGAACGCGTAGAGCCGCCGAAATCGGCACTCTCGAGCTCGGAAGCTTAAGCTGTGCAGAACATTGGGCACCGTACGCGCAGTCAGCATAACAAGCAGGTTCGAGCTGAAACGAAAAAATTCAAACATCTGAAACCACCAAGCTCAGAGCTCAGAGAATTGATCAGACAATCCGTCAGCAAATTCTAACATCTGCTGGACGGAAAATTGCTAGCGCCGATTAAACTTCTGCAAAGTAACCAGCTCTTGAAGTGGGTTCGCACAAGTGATCACCTTATTTTATGATGTCATAAGTTTCTCAAGGACATTTTGCGTACCCACTGTCACTTTGGTCTTTCCAATTATTGGTGTTTGAATTAAAGCTCCGGGCTCATCAAATACTCGGGAGCACGGTTCAATTGACGACTTTCGGTGTCGGCCTTATGTTAGAGGGAATGCACTGAGACCCAAGCCCTTTTTCTGTGGTAGTAGAAGAATGCTGTGTTCTCTGCAACAATGCGCTCGGAGTTTTCACCTCTCATGCATCCACCCTCAGCTCTCCTGCAAAGAAGATCCAAGAGTTCCGGTTTCATAACTAGCTGGGTGCAATCCAGCTTGACTTCAGTTCCGCACCGACGAAATCGTCCCTAATCCTCGAGGTCAAGGTCCCGGCCACCGGACTCACTCAGATGTCCATAACGAACCCTTTCCGAATTACCGGACGCCTGTCAGCTGACCGTCCCCTCAGCTTGGACGACACGAACAGGCCTTGGCATGATAATGTTGCCAATTCCAGCCGGGAGCAGAAGTGGACCTGCAGTGACGATGCCTCATGAGAGTGAGAGAGACCGGCGGCCCGGCGGCTGACTGCGGGGCGAGCTACAACCGCGACCACGGGCCGTACGTGACGACCGAAGATGATCCAAACCCGAAATGCGGCGATGTTCCTCAAGTTCAGATCAAATCAAAATGTGGCTCGCGGCAGAGAGAGAGAGAGAGAGTGAGTGAGAGCAGCGGGAGAGAGCGCAAAAGTGTCTTCCCAGTGAGCGCCCCAAGATGCGAGCGCGAGAGCTCTAAAAGGAAGGAAAAGACAGCAATCTGGGGTGACGAGAGAGCACGTAGATCGGTAAGGAGGGCAGCGATCCTGTCATTCAAGTAGAAAGAGAAAGAGAGAAGGAGAGAGAGGGGGGAGAGGAGAGAGGAGAGAGGACCAGGAGAACAAGAACAGAAGCGGGAGGCGGACTGAGAGAGAGAGAGAGAGTCGAGCGGGTCGAGAGAGGAATGCAGATATTTGCTGCTCCCAAAGCGAAGCGAGTCCAGAAGCTCCCCGCGATCTCGCTGCGGCTCTCTTGTCAGATCTTATGGCGTTCCTTTCTTCCTAGAAGATGAAGATCTTCTGTCCCCTAGTTAGTGCCTCAGCTCGCTCCTCAGCCTGACCGAGCCCCCACATCACTGTCTCACTCGCAGCAGCACCTCAACTTCGCACAGCCAGCACAAGGACCGGCCCCACCTCTCTCTCTCTCTCGGCCGAGGAGATCTGTGACCTTCGATACTCGACGTATGGCAATGCAATATTTACCACTGTTTCCCCCATCCCGTCTCTTCATGTCGTCCGAATAGCTAATCCCTTTCCAACCCGACCCGACTAGATCCAACCAGATCAGTGCCAGTTTCGACCTTCTATCTCAGACAAGTTAGTTGCGCAATCCGCACAAATTCCCCTTTCAGCGGCCAAGCTGTCCAAAGATGGAAAAAAGCCTCAATTGGATCACTCCGGACGACCATGAGCCCCCTAAATCCAGACACCTGCTGGATGACCCTAAACGACCCATGATTCCACTCCCCCCTCCCAATTTAACCAAATTATCCCTTTGGTTCTTACTCCAAGTCAAGTCAAATATTGGCGAGCAGAATCTGCGAGCCGAGGTCGGAATAGAGCAACCAGCACTACATCGGACCATCCCCAACTATAGCAGAACATTCGGACGATGGTTTGCAAGATAGAGGGAGGTTTAGAGGTTTACAAGGTGGAGATAGCGTCCGAGGCCGGGCTCGGTGAGATGCCTTATCCGTGGGGCAGTGAGCAAGGAGGAAGGTGATGTTGTGGGACGACCGTTGGGGTCCGTTCAGTAGACGGGAGAGATCTTTGTGGCTGGCTGGATCTGGAGCCGAGCAGTTTCGCCGTCCGTGGCCAACCGGGGCGAGAATGAAGAGGGCTCACCTGAGAGGATTCGTGGAGGAAACATCTATGATTCCTTGCTGCTGTCGCCTGAGGTCTCTGGTTTTTGGAGATGACCATCATTAAGATCCGAAGTGTACCTTGGCTACCTCAGGTGCGCTTATGATTAACTCACGCATGCTCGCTCTTGTGAGGGTGCCTGCAACAGTGGCATTCCGCTTTCCAATGGGGGGGAGCATCACAATGTACGAAGCCCTAGTTTGAACTTTGAAAACATTATTGACCCTCTCGATCGATATGCAAGCATTGGGAATCTACTGTACGATGTTGACTGGTTGCTTTCGGTGGGGGTAAGGCGGAGGCATTGACAAAATGCAAGGGGTGGGTACGCGAGGGGATGAAAAGGCACAAGGAAATATAGTTCAAAGCTCGCAAGATCCATATGTAATCATGAAAACATAAAGTCTTTGTATATCTTTTCGCACCCATGCTTTTTTCTGTTCTGCAGAGCTTATGTGACAAACTCAACTCACGAAAGCATGATTAGATTCGTCGACCTAAAAGATGGTGTTGACATGGCTAGCTAGACGGCGAACTCACCAGCAACGGAGAAGGCATATGGTGTAATCCGCACGGTACAGCGCTCTCGGAGTGCCCAAAGATTATGCGAGAGAAAAGTCGCCTGATCGTTTCAGATGTAAGCCAAGTGGTCACCTCCATAGGCGATTCCGTAAAGATGCTCCCTCATACTCATGGTGCAGATAGACGGCACAGTTTATGACACAAACTGGACCAAGAGTTTAACATATTTTCAATCTTGACAGGTGATGTGGAAAGCTTTCTGTTAATTGCCCAGCTGAATATTAAAAATGCACTAGAAATCATGAACAGACGCAAGTTGCACCGGAATCGGTTTGTTTTCTACAATTTAGGGTTGCATGTTGAATATTCCATCTGAGGCCGCCAAGCACGAAGTAAAAACATTGAAGACATCAGAAGAGTCCTTCCGGAATCCTATTGGAAAAACCTACAAATGGAAATATTTATAATATGAGAATTTGTCTCTCATGGAGTGAAAAGCATATGGATCCGAGGTAGAAACATGTAGACATATGGACGATGGAGGGAGCGTGTGTTAATCTCTGAAGCTGGTTCAAGGAAACAGCTCAAAGGTAACAGAACGTCTCTGTTGTTGTCTTATCTCGGAGCTTCAGATTTTGTGGCCCCTTCGAATCACAATAGTGAAAGGTGCCACATTGTTCGATGAATGAGCCCAAAATGGTTTCTCCCATGCGAAACAATTTGAAATTATGTGAGCGACCGGGGGTTGGTGGCACATCCTCCAGTGCATGGAAAGACAAGAAGGGCATTTGTACTGTGGGTTGTTCCAGAGACTCAGGGTCCGTAGCACATTCTCAAGATTTTGCAGCACCCGCAGCAGCAGCAGCACTAGGATATGCCCCTCCTGAACATTGGGGTCATGGATGTGGAAAACTCTTGCGAGCAATAATTTATGGGACCCAGGTAGCATACAACATCCCTGTCCTCCTCCTCGTCCTACACTCCCTTCAAATGATGAGATGATTGCACACAAGCATCGAGAGGTCCACCGGTTCACTTTCAAGGAGACGTCCATCTCCACATTCCAACAAGTGGTGCCGACCTTCGCTCGATCGGCAGTCAAACCGGCTAGATTTCTCTCGGCTAGGGCAAGAAAATGTGGGCCCTGAAATGAGTGTTACATGACATGTACAAAATGCTCCTCACCCACTTCCCATCCATGTATAGAAACATGGTCACCTCCTCATTATAACCAATTCTTCATCCAATAAACTATTCCTTCACACTATTCTAGACAATTCCCGATTGGGCCCCTTAACTCGGCCTGCTTGTCCTTAACTTCATACTAAACAATCCAACCAACATACCCCACAAATCCCCATCCCCATCTTCCTCTTGTCCACATTTTGTCGCGCGTTCGGACTTTGTACTTTGCAGGGTCGTTTTGTCTCCATTGCTCGGCCTCGTTCGTTATCGCCGGCCATCTCCTCCAGCCTGATAATCCTCTCTCTTACCATCGGCCACGTCATTGCTCCTATCGACACTCCTCCTGCTCTGCTGCTGCTGCTCCAGTACCCTCGAGCCCAGTAGACCTCGTTCCGTTCCCCATCGTCTACTTACTACAGCCTCGCCGATCAATCCATCGCGACTCCTGTGCCTGATCTCCATCAGACGGTCGGTCGGTCGTTCGATCTGTTCCATGTCTCGACGCTTAGCTTTGTATGGCGAGATTGCGGGCGGAGCCCGTACGAGGGAGCAGGTGCGACCCAACCGGTGACTCATTCAAGGACCAACGTTTCTACCACGCCCGTCTCGCTGGCGCAACGCAGTTTTACCTCTCGCGGAGTAAATCCCGATCGCACCACGTCTGCGTCTGGGCTTTTCCCAGGCCCTTTACTGCGTAGGCAGCGCAAATCATCATCTTTAGCAACCGCCAAAGACAGAACTGCAAGGATTCACCGCCCCAGATAGATCATACGCCCCGCTAGGCAGCCACAGAAGTCCCTGCCGTAGTAGGCCCTGAACAGCGTAAGATGACAGAGTAGACGAGACGAGCGGAAGCCAAGTGTCTGCAGACCTGTGAAAAGGTTACGTGCAAATTAGCGAATGTCCAACAGCTTCGGATTGTATATTCTCTAAGGAAGAGCATGTAACACGGGATGGGCTTAGAATACTGCCATGAAGTAAGGTTGCGCTTGATCTCGTGTGTTGCATGCTGTGCTAAACAAAATATAACGCTGGATCTTCCATTGCACTATTATTGGGTCCTCTCATCTCTCCTGTGCTCCTGCTTTTACAAGGATGTGGTGTAGGGATCTTGGATTATTGAAGCTTTTGCATTCACACTAGTTTTTTTCTCCACGACAATGATGCTCTCCTTTGGTTTCCTCCACCAATTCACACTCCATTGTTGACTTGTGAGTGAGTGTTTACCCTAGATGTAGCAATTTTTTCACATGACTCAATGGCAATAGAGGAGTTTAGCATATGGTTGTAGTAGACGAATATTATAGCAATCTTATATTTAGTTTCGGATCATCAAGGTACGATTGAAGAAGTGGTGGTTATTGACACTACATTTGCTAGAGTTTAGAAGGTGACTAATGTGAGTATTCCTAGATGGGCAAGTTCCTAGTTCAACATGTACATATAAATAAAAATAAAAAAATAAAAAAATATATTTAAATTCTAACTATTTATTATTCCACTATTTGAATTATATTGAACCAAGGAAGCTATGTTTGAAAATTTTGGTGAGAAAGAACACCCTAACAAGCGTGAAGGCAGTGCTTACTCTATGATTTACCTTATTTATTGCTAAATGTTTCCAATCTGTAACTGATGTCATACATAACTGAAATTTTTGAACTGAATGATGCTAATATTTTTTACCAATATAGATATGTGTCCAAGAAAAAATAGAATATACATTGAATCCTTAAGGTGGAGAACTGAGGAACAAATGTTGTGAGAGGGGGTTTGAGACTTCTCTCGCTTTTCCAAACTGCCACATGACACATGAATATTCCCTAGAAGGAAGAAGATTCGTTTGATGATCATATGAAAATTTCGATGTACAAGTTTAGAACATCGAAATTTTAGTTTTAATTCTACTTTAATATTAGACAAGTTTAGGCGGAAACAAATGCTCGTAAAATCCTACTGGTTCATTTTTCTTCACATCTTTCAAGGACATGAATGTTTGAATTACTCTACTTAAGCTTCGATCCTCATGTGAATAAAACAGATCTGTTCATATGATTGGGGGACCATTAGGTGAAGAGGCGAAAACCAAAGACTTGAAGTTATGTTGTTGGTTACAAATGAGAAGCTCAATGGTCGAGTTCATTATTTGATTTCGGTTCATTGTATTGGAGTGCGAGAAATATGCGTTTTCGTCTTCTCTAAGATAAAATTTCCGCGGATTAATGGTAGGGCACTGCTCAGTCGACTGACATTCCAGATGATGAGAACTTATCGTATGGACTTGCATTTTTGTGAAAGCATATCGATGATATTTTTTTCTTGATGATTTGGTATATACAAATGATTTTTCCCGTTGGTACCGTTTCTTGAGTTCATGGGGTTAAAGAACTTCTTCCATTCAGGGGAATATCCGCCCGTCTCAACAGTTTGCCGGTTGTGGCAACAGCATTCGCTTTGTTCTCTTCTTGTGCGTGCCGTTTGATACACGAGGAACGGTATCGAGAAGCACAAATGCCTCGACCCCTCAAATCATAATGACAAGCAAAACGTGTTTGTAAGATAAGGATAGAACATTGTAAAATTGCAGGAAATAATTTGACGTTGAAACCAAGATCTGCGGGCCTGGATTTATTACACTGGAGAAATTAGATAATTAAATTCGAAGTGGAAATCAAGGAAGAGAGAGAGAGATGGTATCCTCTTTCTTCCTCACTGCCAAATGCTTACTTCAGGTCCAAGAAAGGTCAACCAGGTCCAGTTTCGCTACCCTCGCCTCCCACGGGTGGCGAAACTGGACCACCGGATGAGATCGCCCGCCGCAGCCCACGGAGAAATGGAATAGACAGGTGACCGGAAACCCTTCCCGCTCCACACGTGGTGAGGCGCTACAGCGCTAGATTTTCTCATTTGCCCAGCGTGGCGTGGGAGACACAACGTGGGCTGTCCACGTAGCCGCTTTGACTTGTACTCAAGCGGGGGGGCCGATCTGATCCATCCATCTCGTAGGCCATGGCATAGCATGGCTCCAGCAAGCACCCATCCATCCATCCATCAACTCCTGCTTGCCTGCCTGTCTCCGTGTCTGCTTCTCTGAACATGTGCCCCGGATTCTAGCGGTGATGATTAGGCCTCATTAGCAGGCGTCATTAGTGTGATGATTAGTTGCATGAGCAGCGAGGGGACTTATCCTTGACCGGCCTCCGAATCTCTCATGCTGCCGGCGACTCGTGAACTCTTTCCCGCGGTCGATTCTAATCACGCGGGCATTTCCGTGCCCGGCAACCTCTTCGAGGTTCACGTCGGAAACCTGAATCCATGTTCACATCAAGAAGTAATTCCGAGCGCGCCGCTAGGAATTCGCCGTCGGGAGAACACGATTCATCACCGACCAGTCCGTGAACGGCCGTCAACTCGTTCGTTCATTCTCCGAACTTCCTTCCTTCCATTCCACCCGCACGGCAGGGCACGGCGCGGCGTGGCACGCCCGGACCTCTGAGTCCAGAGTCCAGACCACTGGACAGGACGGAACTGGACTGACCGACTGACGACTGGAATTGCGACTTCTCGTAAGTCGTGACGCTGGGCTGGAATTTTGCACAAGGTCCCTAAGTGCTCGACTTCTCGTAGCATAGCACAGGCTAGCGCCATAGCCTACAACCGAGTGTGTACCTGCTGCTGGCCCTCAGGTACTGCAGGGAAAGAAGGTCGAGAGCTGGGAGACGGGGTCGTTCGGATGGGAAATTGCTATGCTACATCAGGGTGATGTGCAACCGCGGGAATTAGAATTTCTCACCTGCTCTGCTAATGTTCTTGTGCAGCAGGCGCATGCTGTTGGGTGCGCATGTCTAGTTGTCCTTTCGGAGGTAAAATATCGCCACAGGCCAGGCGCAATAGTGAATAATTCTATCACCAGCTCTGCTCTGTTGTGGTGAGGTGTATGTGTAAGAGCCTTCCAGAGCACATGAAGTCCCATGTCTCATTGCCTTTGAGTGACGTTTTGTGGAATTTAAATCCGTACTTTTTTCCCTCCGACACCAACACCCATATCTGGCCTCCATCAACTGGCATCCAAGTATAATCGCGTTTCCTCCCGTTTGGCACCTTTTACTTTCTCTGGTGACGTTCCGCTTGACACTTTTCGCGCTCTTCTTCACAAGATGACGATCTTCGGCACGAGAATGATGGAAGCAGGAACTTGCGGGCATTTATCATCATTTCCGCCTAGTCAATCCGGACCCGGGCTGGCCTCAGTCCTCCCGACTGCACTTAGCCCTCGGACGATGCCGCAATTCGAAATGACAAAACAATTGCTTATATTTAACCCCTGATAACTCCGTCACATAACAACCAAATCCGAATACTCTCACGTTCTTGTATCTCCATGTAAAGCTGTAAATTCCTAAAGAACTGTAGCACGTGTCGTGCTAGCGACATTTTCTATTGTGATTTGACGTCGCACCTGGCAGCAGACAGCGGATTCTTGAGGGCTCCGGTGATTTGCAGATGACCTGTGTAGCACGGATCAGTTTCGAGAGCTCGATGATTCATCGCATAAGGTGTTTGAAGGGTTACGGTGCAAACGCGCAGGGCTATGTACAAAGGACCGACTCGGATAAAGCCTGGCGGCATGGGCCCAAACATGATTGAAGCACATTCAATTCAAGCAATCTTACGACCGAGAACATCAGGTGTGACGCTCAAGTAGAGCTAACCGCTCGAGATGAGCAGAATAATCAGGTCAACATCTGCCTGTGCCACACAGTGCGCTCAGTATTTTATGAGTTTCAATTTTTGCACCAAAAGAAAGACTGCAAATTCTAGATCATCACATTCCCTCGCTATCTGTCAGTTTTACAAAGATATGGTCCTTGATTGGATATGCTTGCTATCCTAGGATCGTCTTGATTCCATCTCGAGACGGCCTATATATGCAGGAGTGTTGGAATGTGGAACTTTCTGTCCCAATGGAAGCTGTTCAAGTAATTTGCACTGTCACTTTAAATAACGTACAGCCTACTGGCCTCTTTATTATGCGGAGCAAAGGCACCCTGAGATCCACGCAAGGACGAGCAGCTGGCGTGGATACTCCCATATCACTGCCCTTCTACACAGGGCAAACCAGACACAACGGCGGATAAGATATTTGCCTCTGTTTATGGATAACATTTGAGCATAATCTTACCCACTGTAAGAGAGAGTGAACTACTCGTCGACCTGCTTCTAGAAGGTATTACTGTACGAGCACTTTCGAGCTCAAATGCAATCGATTTGCAGTATCCCAGTTCTATAAACCGAGCCCTTCTTCCAAGACACTAAAGACAAGTCCTTAATTAATATAGTCCTCACCATTACAGTAGGGTCTCTTTCTCTTCTTTAGTCTATATTACAACCACGTACTCTAATTAGGGGTAGAGTTACATATGCACTCGTTAAGGTACACTCAAAAAGTGTACGCGACTGAAGGTCTTTAAATTAAATAACTGTGATGTATTATGACATATATTAAAGAAAATACTAGAACAAATAACAAAATAATTCTTGTGAATTCTAAGTCACATAGTGCACTGTTGAGTTTTTTAAAGATAGCTCGTTGTACCACAAAGTGATCCAAACTATATCATCTGAAGTTAGTTCCGATGTGATAATTTCTAATTATTTCACAGAAATTCAACTTGTAAACTGTTATTAGAACGACTCTTTGTATACAAATGTAAACAACAATAAGTATGAACATTCAGGATTGAATGTTGAAAAACTCTTCACGTATGAAAGGTAACTCAGAGAAATCAATTCTTAAGTTACGGATGAAAGTTTCCAGACTAGGACGATAAACTGTTTTGAACCTGGACGTATGCATTATATATTCAACATAATTTTACTGGATCTTGACATTTTTCAAATCTTTAGCTCTGAAAAATAATTATTTTCCGTAAAAAATATAATATACAACGTAAAATTTAAAACCATAAATTTCTTAATTCTATTCTTTGGTAAAATATTTTATAGTAATTATGGTGTAATTTCACCTTATAAATTGTAGTAGGATTCAAAAAAATTTAAAACTACCAAATTGATCAAATGTGAATTATTTATTAATAGAAAATCAAAAGTCCTATCTTGAGATTAAAGAGAAATGTGATCACTAAGTTATCCTAGGTTTTCATCGTTATCATATATTTGATTCTCAACGACATGTAAAAGAGTACAGAGAAATCAGTAAAATATTTGTATATAATTGAATACATTCATAAGATGATTTGCAAACTTTGTGTAGTACTGTATAAATATTTAGGAAAATTTTCTTTTCTCCATATTTCATGTGGATTTCTTTTTTTTACTAAAATAAAATTAAAATTTTGTTGCAATATTAGGAAATCTAAGAATTACTCAAATATAGGTTGTAAAGAAATTCTATGTAGGATATAAGGAGAATAATAAATCTTATAATTGAAATACATTCCATGTGATGAAGAAGATTAGAATTGAAAATAGTTATGCAATGCAAACCCATACTGATAGTAAAAAAATAAAATTGGAGCTTGAAATCTGAGAAAGAATACAAGCGACCTGATATGTGATTGTTTAAAGAAGAGCATTGCAAATAAAAAATTTCTATGTTGTACTTGATTTGGTTTCAAATATGTGTTCTTATATCGGACGCATCCTGATAATTAAGAGCAAATTTGATGCCTTAAGAATTTAGCTTAAGTGATTAAACAATCGGATGTTCGAAGCAGGCTCTTGGAAATTGTAATTATCAAACGTGTATGATATGCTGCTTAAAATAGCGGTTTACACTTCCCGAGCATAATTTCACGTGGAAAGCTATTTGTCACCGTGTTTTTGGTTCTGACTTGTGATCTGATAATGAGCGATCCAACTCGGACATGTGTCAAGAACTGGCATGACAGTGTCAGAAATATAACTACACGAAGAAAAAACTTTTATTGTCTTTAAGATGCTAACTTTTCAGACAGTCTGTAATTAGAAACCCCGCATCACATTTAAACTCTATCAAATTTGTCCAATATAGAATTGCTCATCCCCTACTTTCCTTTGAAATCCTTATTACAAATCATGAGATTCTACAACAGATGTCCAAAGTGAGATAGATTAATTGTTAGTATAAGAAGGCAGGCTTAAAAGAAACGTTCTATATTTCTCATAGAATGAATCACAGCCACAAATGAGAGGTTCAGGAATCTCTATTGTACACTAGTCACAGTTTTGGTGTACGGTGATAGAAATGACGTAATATATATTGCTTAAGGGTGAAACCAGTTTCGGAAACTATATATTTCGGTGGCAGAGATGACGATAGTAGAAACACGTCGTTACAATTTATTGTAGCCAATGTGTACCGTACTGTGAAAGCGCAAGTAGATCCCAGTACGGCTAAAGCTACCGCCGCTAAACATCGACAGCTTGGACGGTGTCGATGTCCTCTGTAGTATCAATCTAACCGTATAAGTCCAATCTTGGAACAGTGACAATTATGGCGCAGAGTTGGCGGAAGAGTGCTCACAGATCCACTGATCTACGGCAGAAACAGTACTCAAGTCCCAGCTGCCTTCCCGTAGGCCAACCAGGAAATCCGCTAAGCTGCCACTCCCTCGTCTTGTTTACACTTCTCTGTGTGTGTGTATTTATAGGCATGTAAGTAGTACGTTAAATGTAGTTCATCTACGTTGGAAACGCTGTGCAGTCCTGTACTGTGATACCAGAGATAGGAAGTGCGTGCATACAATAGCAACATAGCATGGTAATGAACCAGATACGACCCACCTCTTGCACTTATTCTTCTGAGATATCCGCTCCACGATGAAGGTGAGCAGAACTCCACAATTGCCTAGACATTTAAGAAAATATGTTCTTCTCCTGAAACTGCATGTACAATTTCCTTCGGTGGAACCAGTAATCGGAGCTGGAGTCATTGAAAATAATATTATCCTTGAAGTTAGCGTCCGTTCAAGCGTCATGGGCATGGGACGAGAAAAGATGCCGATCTTTCCGAAAAGTGCTCAACTTTTAGGAATACAGCAATGATATGTTTCAAGAGGAAGGTCACACTAGCATCCTCTTTGGAGATTGAGGAGAAAATCCAAAAGAACATGAAAGTAAAACAGATTAAAGCGGCGAAACAGTGCAGAGGAAACAAATAATCCCGAGACCCGAATCGTGTTCGCTCATTTATGAATTTGAGCTTTTTGGATGGTGGGTTAAAAGATAACGTCGGAAACCCTACAACTAAAAAAATAAGAAGTGGATAAAAACATTTTGGACTTCTTGAAATGGTTCTTGAACAACCAAAAAAGACTCCAGACCTAAACAACGAAGTGGTCTATATTTGCACCTATTGTTTTGAGCTTCACACCAAACCAGCAGTGAAGCTTGGCAACGAGACAAACCACCCGAGTGATAATTTACACTACTTCCTCCACTGACTAATCGCCGACAGTAGTAAGATAGGTCGAAAGAAATAGTGGGATAAAGAAACAATGTCACCTGAGTAGCTCCATGGATGGAATATCATATTTTACCGTAAAAATTTTGCATTCAAACCAAGTAATTGTGGCCTCTTGGAATAGATTGCAGTTTTGTTATGTGAGCTAGTGGCTCCAACGTTATTACTCACAATAGGTAGTTTGATGCTTCGTTTCCAAAGAGTGAAATGTGTATCTTTAATCATTCTACGTAGACTCCACGTTATTTTTCTAATGCTCTGCATGTTCATAATTGATGACATAATCATTCTTAAAAATACAGACCGAGATCCTTTCTTATTTCAATGTGAATTAAATCAATCACTGGAAGTGTAGGTGGTCTCACCATCACACAATCGTGTGCATGTAGACATTGCGTCCCTTCGAGACACTCTGAAGCTTTGTTGTCTCTCTACATGTTACATCTCCGGACTAACTCAAGGGAAGCTTTCAAGAAATTCATGGAGGGGTTAAGAAATTCAAAATAACTCAAAAAATCAAAACGTTCGTTCTCTCGCGAAACAAAAATAAACTTCAATCTTGTGAACCAACTAGCACACTTAGATTGGTATCGGGTGTGTACCATTCGAAGGTGCATTACCTTTCTCTGAGAAAAGAATCGAGGGTGCACCGCAAGATCATCATCTTTAGACCTCTGTTTCAATTATCTGGAGGCAGTCTTGATTTGAGGCAGACCTGTAGGCAAATCTTCGCTGCAAGGGCATCGTTCCGGTCCGGTATCGTCGTCTTCGTCGTTCAGCCAGAGAATGGAAGGTCAGTCTCGGAGCAGCAGAGCCTCCAGATTCCTTCTTCTTCCTCTTCTTCGAGCAGCCATTTACTCTGGACGGGCTCATACCCACCACCAGTTGAATGAAAGGAAACTGGTGGTGGAAATGGGCCGTTACTGAATGCAGTCTCCGAGTTTTGTCGTTTGAACGTGCAAGAGTTTGCCGATAAAGCGCCGTCCCTAAATTTGGACCACGTTTAGTGACGCTGGCGCACCTCCCTCCGCACAGCGCGAATAAAATGCCGAACGGAGTACAACATGTATGAACGAAGAAGAGTGACGGTTCTATCTCCGGGACAGCCAATCCGGGAGGAACAAAGGAAGATCATGTCCCCCGTGTCGTGTTCCATGTAAAAGGTCGCGTGCCGGTAAACCGGTAGCTCGTGGTTTCTGCTGCCGTCGGATACTGATCCTACGGGCTGAACACGATCTCAATCGCAGCACAACATGTCGGGGCCCTCGAGTTTGACCGCAACGTGGGTTTGACATTCTAGAGGCGCCGCCAATCCTGCTGCTACTTATGCGCCGAACTAGAGACAGGACGTGCAGTGCGGGAACGAGGGGGCATGGGACTGGGGCACGGGACTGGTTCATCGACCGGAGTCCAGACTGCGTACACGTGGCCCATGCCCGTGGTCCTGACATCCATCCATCAATCGGCGGAGTAGCTGTGCGAGTAAATTTCGAGTGATGTCATTTACCTACATTCGATTATTCCCAAAAGCTACCGTGGCTTTTTGGAGAGCGGGGTAGGGCTTTGTGCTCGAGCGTCTCTCTCGAGGGTAAAGGTAAGAAGGAAAAAAGCGGACGAGCTGGTAAACAACCAGCAGCGGGAGCGGGAGTGGGAAGGGGAAGGGGACGGCCCGCCTGGGGAGAAATGGCACTCGTTCCTCACGACGAAACAGTTCTGCTGCTGGGCGTGCCTTCTTGCAAAAGCTGGTCGGCTGGTTTGGTTGCCGGGCTGGCTGTCTCCTTCCGAGCCTAGCAGTCTGACCCGGCCCTATGTTCATTCTCGATTGTACAATAATTGTTGCGCATTCCTTCATCCACTCCAGCTGCCTTCCTTCCACTCGTGATTCGAGTCGCTTCCGTGCTCTCCGCTTCGCTTCTCGTCCGAGTAAGGGCGCCCTCTGATCGAAACACATCTGAGGTGACGAAAAGCTCAGGTCGACTCAGAGATTCTAAGAATTCGAGAGCCGGAAGTTCAGCAGTAGGCTTCGCAGCCGCAACCGTTTCTGACACCGTGGGACAAGCAAATGAACAAATCATGAGATTCATCAACGTTTCAGATGTTAGGACACCGAATTCGGCTTCGTTTCTTGTTTCTTCCTGCTCGTCATCCACCTTTTCGAGCTCGATATGTGAGCAAGATTTCGATCCCAGGTCCCAGACTCTCAGTCTCTTCGCGATCGTTTTCAAGTCCTCTGCCGTCTTAAATGCAGCGCTGTTGGATACTTCTGAAAATCGAGACCGACCGGGCCCCTCTCAGAGTTTGTGGCCTTCAACGCTGAGAATTCCGAGAAAAAATCTGGGATGACAATTTGCAGTTGATGCTGCTGGCTTCAAGAAGAACCAGGACAGGTCAAGTGACACACTTCAATAAATCCGTGTAGCGCTTCGTAGAAGATCAGTAAGACTTTGTCCTGCTTCCGTGATGGAACAAATGATTGCTGCATGCGATTCGCATTTCAAATGTAGTTCACCAGTTTGCCAACAATATGAGGACAAGAAGCGATGCAAGAATGTGCAGAAGAGCTGGATGGAACCCAGCAGCCACACAATACTACATGCAATAATGTTCAGACTCGAACCAGTTCTGAATGCTCCTCCACTCCTTTAATCCGGCTCCAGCGGACCTCGTTCCTGTGCTTCCTTCGTATTCGTTTGTTTGCACATTGTAGCTGTTTGTTAAGTACAGACATGTGGTACCCTGTACTAACGGCATACCGTTTAGCATTCACCCCTTGCAGCCCTGCCTCGTATATTCGAATCATCGGCTCTGACACATCTCCCGGCTGACTGACTATAGTTGGTATGCTTGTGCACATGATGTCTCGGGGTCTAATTAACGTGTTCACGTCATTGCCTCTATTTAGAGACTTGCTTACGCTGTCTATGATAATGTGGGACAGTTTGTAAATCTTGTACTGATGTTAGTTGTCTATGCTTAATGCGTAGCTCGGAAATGTCCGAGGAACTTCAGTGCAATTGTGCAATGCCAGGTTCGAACAACCTCACTTACTGATACATGCCATTTACGCAGTATCATGAGAAGTTTGTCTCCTGTTCAAACATATTCTTTCAGTACTTCAAGTTCATTATAACATAATTACACTTAGTGAAGCCTCCTTGTTGATCAATTATTTAAAGTAACTCTCGAATTCCTCGTTACCATTATCCATATGTAAATAATAAATATTTCATCTTAGATCAACATTAAATTTTAATTTGTATTTTCAACCTTAACAAATTATGATTATCTCATAAATTTGTGTGAAAAATTTCAAGTAACATAAATTTTAAATAATCATCAATAAATAAAACATACTAAAAATTTCCAAGGCATAAAAGTTGAAATATATATTTGAAACTAAGAATTAAAACATCAAAAATATTTTAATTATCTTTGTCACCATATGATGTTCACAAAAGTCAAATATATTCATGTCAGGTGGCAAGGAATGACAAGTCCCTATTTATCATCCCTATTTCTTTCTAGATTGACATCTTAAATAAAGATCTAATAAACTTGACTTTAACATTGATATCATTGCCCTATATCACGTAAAAATCTCACACTTATGACCTTTCATCTAATCTTATCACCTATTGTCTTATTAAGAATTCTCTTTTAAACTTATAATCAAGTTCTTTTCATTTTGACATCATAACAGGATAAATATCTATATTCATATTTGCTATAAATCTAACGTGAATATAAAAATATGTGATTGATTCCATTTAACATTATAACGGATATTACATCTTTCATTCTAAGAATTTAATCAAAACCTTTAAATTTAAATTTTTTATACATTTGATATAAATAATAAAATTATATTTTATCTAAAAAATTCGATAAAACAAAAAACCATCTGGATATCATACATCAATAAAAACCTTAGGTGAATTGCATAGAATATTAAGTTCAAATATTTAAAAAAAATTCAACATCATCAATCTGATTTTAGGTTTTGTGTAAACATGAGAAATTTTTACACTGAAATTTCATTGAAGCTTATTTGATTCAATGAAACATCAATTTTTTTAAACTTTTTGTGATGAAAACATCACTCAAAAACCTTTAGGAATAGAGTTCAATAGCTACATGTTCCCACGTTTTTTATGTGAGAGGTTGTAATATTAATTTAACTTCAATAATCACCTCAATTTGATTTTTTTTCAATTTTTGTGAAACAAAAAAATTAGGATTTAAACATCTTATCCAAACACTTGACTTTCAACTTGTTTTTTTAAATTTTTCTTTCAAGAAAGATACTCATTACATTCATCTTTGTTGACTATGTCATATCTAGCTCCATCAATTATTATGATTGGCATTTAATTTGGTCAGATCAGATCCTAAAAGTTGTTCATTAAGACAACTGTTGATATATAATACAACATATAATACAACATATAATACTCTTCACTCATATAAAATCTTATATAATGAACTAGTTATGTATATCATCATTGATACAATTGTTAATGAATCAACACAATGATAATTTAAAATTCAATAAATTCAACAAAAAGCTTCATCAGAATAATTCAGAACTTGGAAGTAAAACATAAAATTTAATATAAATGCAGAAAAATTGGCAATTAGAGTTGCAAAATTTTATACTCCTTGAATTTGAAGTACAACACAATGTTCTATTTTCAAATTGCAATTGTCAATATACCTCCTAATCTATATAGGTTGAACCTTGATCAAAATTTATTATTATACAATATTATAATACAACCTTCCAAGTTTCACAAGATCACAACAAGAAACACTACCCTGCAGTCTTTTAGTTATTTTTAAAAATAGATCTTCATTTTTGAAAAAAATGGTTTTTATTTCTTAGGACAAAATCAAAAACTCAAAACAAAGATCATAATGAAAATGATGTTCATCACTTAAAGCAAAACTAAATATTCATAACTTAGATGATAATGAAGATGAATTTCATCTTAGACAACAAAATTAAAGATTTAGAAATTGAATCCTCATAAGAATAATTTTTTTTTGCCTATGGTCATATAAAAAACTGAAAATTTAGTTTCTGATGAAATTGAAAACAACGTTGTTTATCAATAACGTTGTTCTATGAAAATAATTAAAAATAATAAAAATAGCTTATCAAGAGCAATCTCATAATTTTGGAGTTGCTATCAAAGATTCAACAATGAGAATGATGTCATTAACATTCTGGTGGCTATCTTGTTTTGCATGTAAAGTTTGATAATTAGGATTTAATCAGAGATATAATTATGATGACAATAATGCAATGAAACACATATGAAATTGGATCATCTCATAAGGATCATAAAAACCATAAAGTTCTAAATTGAAAACTTTGCAACATCTGGTGACTTGTGTCAAACTGACGTGTACAATATAATAGCTTTGAAATGAAAAATGTAATATATATGTGCTATATTTTTGTAGTTTATTTTTTATTTCGAGAATAAAAAAAATTGATTTTTGGTGGATGATTGATTTTTTGACAATTAAAGAAGTCAAAAAGTTTTAATTTTAAACATTGGAATTTTATTATATAAATCATGACTAAGTTTAGCTAGTTGTTATGAAATATACCTATCAAATGAATAATAAATAATTAACTAAAATTTATTTGGAAGTGATTGATGAATATTACTATTTTTTCTTTTATCAAATTGATAATAAAAAATCATAAAGAATTTGACCACATGTTATTTATGATTGGTTGGACTTGTTATCCAGATTTTGATTGATGAGACCAAGTCTAAGTTTGATCTAATGTTAAAATGAGGTTTTATATCTTTTGAATTACCAAATGACATGTGTTTGTGTAATATTTATTTGTGAACATTGGAATATCAATAATTGGAAAATAAGTTTTTTTAAAGATAAAACAGTAATTCTGAAGATAATAAAAAGCTTAAATATAGATCAATCTAATATGTACAATGAACTAAAATTTCATCTCGAGCATCCATTTAATATTTTAAACATATATTTATATTGATAACATTATCTGACACAATTATTGGAAACATATATTTATATAGACAAATATATTTAACAAGCATATATATTGCTTGTGTATAACTCTCAACTAAAACATGAACTAAATACTCAATATTTACTAAACAAATATATGGAATTCTTACATGTCATTGTCAACCAACACTTTATTTTTTTATATATTAAGCAAATAGATAACGGATGTGATTATTTAAAAGAAAAAAAATGATGTTTTGTATTTGAAAAGTGAAAATTTTTGCAACCATTCTTAATTGCAACCATCATAATGTTGTATAAATCAAACATTATACATTTTAGAATTACCCTAAAAATTAAATAACGTTCTTTATCATTGATTAAGACTTTATTTAAGCAATACAATACAAAAATTTCATCTACATACAATTGAGCAAGTTGTTATTGTTTCCGTGATTGATCTAATATGAATCAATTATTTAGTTTGTTCATATATACCACAAGCCAATTAACAAGATTTTTGTTAAGTTATTTAGAGAATCAATAGTTACGTGGTTCCACTCTTGTTTAGAATTATGGAAAGATTGTTATAAGCTAGTTAATTTTTAATTACTTGCCTTGTCTAATTAACAAGATACAAAACTTCAAACATAAATCTCCACATTTTTTGTATTAAGTACTAATTGTAGTATCTTGTCATGATTTATAAAGTTCTTTATTCTCACATAATTTGCAATGATGATTTTTTGACAAAATCATTAAGGAACTCTTGAATTAAATTTACATGCATGTATATATTGCTTGTAAAATGTTAAACCTAAAAAAATTTGCATTTTTTGTAACTTATTGTATTTTCATAATATTTTAATTGACTTTTGTGGCAAGTGTCATTTGATTATATCAATCTCGTTGAATTAAGACATGATATCTGGCTAAAAGCGTAGGCATGATTTGTTTTCACTTCATATACAGAGTCTTTATGTCGAAGCACTCACGTAATAAAATTGTATGTTAAAATTGTCATTTAGAAAAATATTCTTTAAGATTTTTGTAAAACCAATGATTAATGATTGGTTTTCACTACACAATCCTTGTATTCCATATAGTGCTTGAAATTTTTTGTTGCCAGCATACTAATTAAATTTTTCTTCTTCCATCATAATACAATTTTTTCAACTGTCATCAATTTTTGGAAAAAAATACTAGATCTCAAAAATCATTTTATTAGTATTGATGTATGACATCCACTTTTATATCTCACACATCAGTATTCAACTTGATGGTGCAATTAATATTAACCATTTGAAGATTGACGCATGTAACAAAGTAAATTTCAATGTTTAAAGAACTAATTGTTGAATTATTCTGTATCTTCATTTTACTATTTTGCCTAACATTAATGTTAAGATTTTACCTAGACAAACAAAATCTTTAACAAATTTATGAAAAGAATCATTAAATTTTAAAAGAACCAATATGACATCTAATTTTGAAAGTTTAGTTATCAATTTTGAATGATTTTAATCCTATAGCTTGGATTTTTTTTTCTGCAATTTTATGATACAAATAATACACTTCCAACTTGTCAAACTTACATTTTGAAACTATGACTTACACATAACAATGTTTTGTAACATCAAAAAAATGCGCTTATGATAATTATTTTTTTAAATTTATGTATATTTTACATAAAAAAAACTAAAATATTTGTTTAAATACAGAAAAATTAAAAATAATCAATATATGAATGAAACAAATGCATTAGTGAAACAAAAACATCACTAGATACTTAAATTGATTATAATTTAT